GGGCAATCATTGTGTCTGGTGTCATAGGCTCATGGATCCCTAACTTTCTAGGCTGCGTTATTGCAGAGGGTTCCTTGCTCACATTGAAGATTGCATAGCTCCTTTGTGTGGTTTATGTGGCAACACATGTGAGTGTTGTACCCCAGGCATTGATTATCCTGGAAGAGAGGATGTGACAGTGTGATCCCAATGTCTTAAGGGCTGATTCTGAGGTCAGAGTGCTGTTTAGGGCATTCGATATTCTATGAATTTTCTGTGTGGGCTGCTTCCCGTGTTGGAACAGTCTCTCCTTTTTAATTCTATCTATTGTTATTACCAGACACTTGGTCTTATTTATGTGATCCCTTTGACATTTAATCCTACCTATATGATCAAGTGCACACTTAATTTGATCACTTTAACACATAAGATGGTATTAGTACCACCCAACTTAATAGGATTTGGAGTCTCATGGTAAGTTTTTAGCTTTACCCTTGGGGTAAGTCTGTGGGAATGTGTGCTGAACTATACAGCTCATCCACCTCTTATACCCACTCTTATTTTTCATTTGAATTTATACAAATATGATTAATTCTCGGTTAGTAAAAGTTCAACCAATGGTATTAAGTAGAAAAAATAATGAAAAATAAAATAATAAACTGTTCCTTTCAGTCAAGAAAAGAACTGTTCAAGTCATTGCTTCTCAAAGTGTCAATTTCACTTTTACAGGTTTCCTTTTAGGTGCTCTGTTAGTTGTCACAGATCAGGGAGAACATATGATATTTGTCCCTTTGGGACTGGCTTATTTCACTCAGCATGACGTTTACAGATTCCTCCATTTTGTTGCAAATGACCAGATTTCATTTTTTACTGCTGTGTAGTATTCCATAGAGTACATATCCATAGTTTCCTTATCCAATCTTTGGTTGATGGGCATTTAGGTTGATTCCATGTTTTAGCTATTGTGAATTAAGCTGCAACAAACATGGAGGTGCAGACAAACCCATGGCCAGCATCATATTGAATGGGAAAAAGTTGGAAGCGTTCCCACTGAAATCTGGTACCAGACTGTCACATTGTCACCTCCTCTCTTCCAGGATAATCAATGCCTGGGGTGCAACACTCACGTGTGTTGCCACATAAACCACACAAAGGAGCTATGCAGTCTTCAGTGAGCAAGGAGCCATCTGCAATAATGCACTCTCACCATTGCTGTTCAATATAGTCCTGGAAATTTTAGCCAAATCCATTATGCAAAAAAAATAATAAAGGGATAAAAATTGGGAAGGAGGAAGTCAAACTCTCCCTATTTGCAGATGACATGATTCTATATATAGGGGATCCAAAAGGCTCCACTAAGAGACTATTGGAACTCATAGAAAGGTTTGGTAAAGTAGCAGGATATAAAGTTAATACACAAAAATCAACAGCATTTGTATACACAGACAGTGCCACTGCTGAGAAAGAACTTCTAAGATCAATCCCATTCACAATAGCTACAAAAAAAAATCAAATACCTTGGAATAAATTTAACCAAGGATGTCAAAGATCTCTGTAATAAGAATTACAAAACATTAAAGAAACAAATAGAAGATACAAAAAAGTGGAAAAATCTTCCACGTTCATGGATTGGAACAATCAATATCATCAAAATGTCCATTCTTCCAAAAGCAATTTACAGATTCAATGTGATACCAATTATACGATATTAAATATATGGGAAACTAAAGACTCTACCAAGAGACTATTGGAACTCATAAAAGAGTTTGGTAAAGTAGCAGGATATAAAATTAACACACAAAAATCAATAGTCTTTTTATACACAAACAAGGGCATGATCTCTATGATGATAATTACAAAACATTAAAGAAAGAAATAGAAAAAAAACACAGAAAATGGAAAGATCTTTCATGTTAGTGGATTGGAATAATTAATATAACCAAATATCTATAAGACCAAAAGCAATTTACAGATTCAAAGAAATCCCAATCAAAATACCAACAATATTCTTCTCAGGTCTAGAGAAAACAATACAAAATTCAAATGGAAACCCAAGAGACCCCAAATAGATAAAGCAATCTTAAAGAACAAAAACAAACTGGAAGCATCACAATACCAAATTTCAAGACATACTACAGGGCAGTTATAATCCAAACAGCCTGGTACTATCACAAAAATAGACATGTAGACCAACAGAACAAAATAGAAACTCCAGAAATCAATCCATGTAACTGCAACCAATTAATATTTGACAAAGGAGCTAAGATCAATCCCTGGAGCAAAGATAGTTTCTTCAGCAAATGGTGCTAGGAAAATTGCATCTTCACATGCAGAATTATGAAACAAGAGCCCTTCTTTATACTTTATACAAAAAATCAGCTCAAAATGGATCAAGGATCTAAATTAAAATCTGAAACCATCAAATTAACACAGAACATTGGAGAAACTCTGCAAGACATTGACATAGGCAAAGACATTTTGGAAAATTCCCCAGAAGCACAGGCGATCAAAGCCAAAACAGAAAAATGGGATCATGTCAATCTGAGAAGCTTCTGCACTGCAAAACAAATACTCAGCAAAATGAAGAGGCATCGACAGAATGGGGGAAAATATTTGCAAACTACACAACTGATAAAGGATTAATATCCAAAATCTATAAAGAGCTGAAGAAAATCAACAACAACAAAACAATCCAGTTAAGAAAAGGGCAAAGGACTTGAACAGACATTTTTAAGAGAAAATTCAAATGGCCAATAGACACATGAAAAAATACTCAGGATAACTAGCCAACAGGAATATGCAAATCAAAACTACAATGAGGTTTTGCCTCATCCAATTTAGAATGGCTCTCATACAGAAATCAACAAACAACAAATGCAGGCATGGATGAGGAGGAAAAAGGTACCCTAATCTACTGTTGGTGGGAATGTAAATTAGTACAACCATTGTGGAAGACAGCATGGAGATACCACAGAAAGCTGAAAACAGATATACTATATCACCTAGCAATCCCACTCCTGAGATTTTGCCCAAATGAAATGAAAGCAGCATAGGAAAGAGTTATCTGAACACTCATGTTTATTGTAGCTCAATACACAATAGCTAGGACATAGAATCAACTCAGATGTCCAACTGATGATGAGATAAAGAAATTATGGTACATGTACACTATTGAATACTATTCAACTGTAAAAAAATGAAATCCTGTATTTTTCAACAAAATGGGTACAACTGAAAACTATTATACTTAGTGAAATAAGCCAGTCTCAAAAAGACAAATACCATATGTGTTCCTTGATCTGTGGTAACCAATAGAGTACCAAAAACATGTAATGTGTAGGAGTGAAATAGACATTTTGAGATTCAGTGATTGTTTATAGCCCTTGTCTTATCTGTTGAGGAACAGCTTTTTTTTTCTTCTTACTCTTCATTGAAATTAGTGTAGGGTAAATCTTATGAGTATAAAGTAAACTGAAAGTAGATCATTGTAAAAATTGAGAGAGGGAATAAGAAAGGAAGGAGGAGGAAGGGTTGGGAGAATCTGCAGAAGGGAGGGTGGGGTAGGAAATATCACTATGTTCCTAAATCTGTATATATAAAAATAAATGAAATTTGTTTGCCTTAAAAATTTTTAAATAAATAATTTTCAAAAATTCAGTTATTTAATTATTTATTTATTTTAATGTGAGAGGATGGGGGAGAGAGACAGCACCCATCTTCTGGAGTTCACTCTTCAAATGCCCAAAACAACCATGACTACACTGGGACCAAAAGAAAATCCAAGAACTCAATCTGAGTCTCCCACAGCACAGCAGAACATAAACATTTGAGCCTTCACTACTGCCTCCCAGGCTTCACACCAGCAGGAAACTGGAATCAGGAGCCAGAGTTGAATATGAAACCCAGGCATGTGATGTGGAACATGAACATTTTAACTGGCACATTAACTGCAAAATTAAACACCCTTCCCACAAATGTAGTTCTTTTTTTTTAATTTTTTCTAAGGTATACAAATTTCATGTATTTACTATATACAGATTCAGGAACATAGTGATACTTCTCACCCCCACCTCCCTCCTGCCCATGCTCCCATCCTTCTTCTCCCTCTCCTCTCTGTACTCTTAATTTTTACAAAGATCTATTTTTCAGTTAACTTTATACTCCTAAGATTAACACTATAGTAAGTAAGGAACTCAATAATCATGATGAAGAAAAAACACTGTTCCTCAACAGAAGAGACAAGGGCTGTAAACAATCACTGAATCTCAAAATGTCAATTTCACTACTATACATTACCTTTTAGGTACTCTATTAGTTATCACAGATCAGGGAAAATATATGATATTTGTCTTTTGGGGACAGGCTTATTTCACTAAGTATAATAGTTTCCAGTTGCATCCATTCTGTTGCAAAAGACAACATTTCCTTTTGTTTTTACAGCTTTGTAGTATTCCATAGTGTATATATACCATAACTTCTTTATCCAGTCTTCAGTGTGATTTCTTTCTAAAGGCCTACATTTTTCAGTTAAAAATTTAATTTTAGCATCAATGACATCTAAACAAAATTTAGATAGAGAGGTAATCCAAATGCATTAAACACATGAGAAATGCCAAGAATTTTGTCAATAGTATAAAACCTGGAGCTCACCAAAGTGTTTCATCAAAATTGTATTTCTAAAATTGAGAATAATGTCCTAATGTTACAACCATAAAAATACATAACTCAATGTATGGGTTAATGTGTTATATTTATATTTACCAAACCAAGCTAATGTAAAAATATGGTTGACATTTATTGAACACTTACTATATAAGAAACACTATCAAGGCATTTTACATCTCATGTAATCCTCAGGACAACCTTCAGAGCTAGGTATGAATGCTAGCCTCATTATAGAACTTACAAATGAGTTGAGGAAAATACGTAAATATCAAACCTTTTTATTAATAATACATGAATTTGATTATGGTCTTGGGCCAGCACACTTGTACAAATAAAAAGGAGTAACTGTGACCTACCTTGATCAAAAAAACCTGGCAATCACTGATATAGTCATATTCCAGTCCATCAAAAGAATGATAATGCCGGTCCCCATATATTGTGCACACCGCAGGGCATGGATAATATGTGCAATTGAACATTCCTCGTCGACAGACACTATTAGGGAATAATATGAGTTCTTTTACTATGAAACATGGTTCTAATTAGTGCTTTTCAAGCGCTGCATAAGCAATTAGAAAGTATATATTCAAGAGCATTCACTGAGCCAATAATCCTGACAAATATTGACAGTTGATTCTGATAACACCTATTACATGGACAAATCAGTCATGTCTTTACCACTTTTGCTTAAATAACTCATCAGACAACAAATCAACTCTGGAAACACTGTGCTGGGATCAAACATAAAATAGATGATGAAATGGAAAATTGAATCTAGGTCGGCTGGTAGGCAAAAGAGTTACTACCTTTTCAAATTGTTGTATTTCCCACTTTTCTTCTGGGCTGAGCACATATATACAGAAATAATGGTGTGGTTCCCCTAGAGATAGCTTTCCACCAAATCCTGAATGCCTTTTGCTGTGCAGCAAGAAGCCATGCAACAGTTCCATAAATTCCTTTTCTTTGTAAATTACCCAAACTGTGGTATTCTTTTTTTTAGCAATAGTAAAGAGACTAAGACACCTTTAAAATCTTATTTACTCAGGCTTAACATACATATTGCTGAAGTCAGTCACACTAAGAGAAAACAACAAGTTAACTGAAATCAATACAACTCCCTGTAAACTTTCTTTATGTGTGACCTAAATGACTTTCCTTACCAGGTATAACATGGTGTAGCAATCACTTCTCCAGAGAGATACTCCCAGTCCTTCCAGATACATGGACAGCTCTCAGGAACATAACATTTTCCTTTGTGCTCTGCCATCCTTCCAATTGAAGAAGTAAAATGTTCTTAGTACACTCTAGCAATTTCAGTTTTTTTTTTTTAAATCAATAATATACTTGCTTTCAACATTATCTTCTGTGTTTACTATAAGCCAAGGCAAATTCTGTCTAGCCTGTATAGATAAGGCTTGAATCTAGTCTTCCTCCTTGATTTTTTTCCCCACACTGCCATGCATATATCAATCAGTACTAAATAAATTCCAGGCAAATGATTACATGTGATATTTTGACCTTTCTTTTAAACTTTTATTTAGCAAATATAAATTTCCAAAGTACAGTTTATGGATTACAATGGCTTCCCCCCCATAACTTCCCTCCCACTCACACCCCTCCCACCCCCCACTCCCTCTCCCCTTCCATTCACATCAAGATTCATTTTCAATTATCTTTATATACAGAAGATCGATTTAGTATATATTAAGTAAATATTTCATCAGTTTGCACCCACACAGAACATAAAAATACTGTTCTCAGTACTAGTATAGCAATATTCACATGACACACATAGACAGAGATCTTACATGAGAGTAAGTACACAAGTGACTCCTGGTGTTGACTTACAATTTGACAATCTTGTTTTATGCGTCAGTAATCTCCCTAGGCTCTTGTCATGAGTTGCCAAGGCTATGGAAGCCTTTTGAGTTTGCCAGCTCTGATCTTATTTAGACAAGGTCATAGTCAAAGTGGAAGTTCTCTCCTCCCTTCAGAGAAAGGTACCTCCTTCTTTGATGACCCGTTCTTTCTACTGGGATCTCACTCACAGAGAGTGTTTTTTTTTTTTTTTTTTTTTTTTTTTTTTTTTTCCCAGAGTGTCTTGGCTTTCCATGCCTAAAATACTCTCATGGGCTTTTCAGCCAGATCCAAATGCCTTAAGGCTGAATGCCTTAAGGCCAGAGTGCTGTTTAGGACATCTGCCATTCTTTTTTTCTTTTTTTTTTTTTTGACGTAATTCTATGAGTCTTCTGTGTATCCTGCTTCCCATGTTGGATGGTTCTCTCCCTTTTTGATTCTATCAGTTAGTATTAGCAAACACTAGTCTTGTTTGTGTGATCCCTTTGACTCTTAGACCTATCAGTGTGATCAACTGTGAACTGAAATTGATCACTTGGACTAGTGAGGTGGCATTGGTACATGCCACCTTGATGGGATTGTATTTGGAATCCCTTGGCACATTTCTAACTCTACCATTTGGGGCAAGTCCGATTGAGCATGTCCCAAATTGTACATCTCCTCCCTCTCTTATTCCCACACTTATATTTAACAGGGATCACTTTTCAGTTAAATTTAAACACCTAAGAATAATTGTGTGTTAATTACAGAGTTCAACCAATAGTATTAACTAGAACAAAAAAAAATACTAAAAGGGATAAAGTATTAAATTGTACATCAACAGTCAGGACAAGGGCTGATCAAGTCACTGTTTCCCATAGTGTCCATTTCACTTCAACAGGTTTCCTTTTTGGATATTTTGACCTTTTTAATGTATATAATACAATAAGATGGAGAACAGCTCAAATTTTCACTAAAGTGAGTTATTCTGAAAAGCATTTAAAGAGGACAAAAGAAGTCTCTTTCTTCACTTATAAGACAGTGAGATCCAAAGTTTTTCTGATAAAATAGTAATGGATATGTCAAATAGTAATGGTTATGTAATGGATTACATTGTTGTAGAATATAGAGAGCAATCAAAGTTTCTTTCTGATTACTTAGCAGTAAAAACATGAGAGTTTAGTTTAGGTGTGTTTTGATTTAAAGAACCATTATATCAAGTATTTCACTTTCTTTTTTATTAACATATTGAATTCTGAATGGTAGTTTTCTTTGAAGTGTTATTTCCTTCTTAAAAGATTATATCACGAAGTTAGGTATGTTCTACATTAACTCTACATTACATAGCATCTAAAATAACTATGAATATAAAAATTAAAACATACAAATTTTGTTTTAATATAAAATGTAAACTAAGTTTTAATGTGAAAACCAAAATCATCATCACAGAGAATTAATACCGATATTATCAAAATATTTTGATGAATATCAAATAAATATTATATTTAATTATGTTTAATATAAGCACATATTTATATCCATAGTCTTAAAACCTTATTTCCAAAATATCTTTCAAAATAACTTAGTCATTATAAATAATAAATAATATATAACAATATATAAATACATAGTAATATCAATATAGTAATTTAATACATAATAATTATATTTAAAACAATATAAAATAAATATAATAAAAATATATACTAATATAATAATTACATTTTAAAGCAATTTATTATTTAAATTATTTGTTTTGACTTATTTTATTATTTAAAGTGATAAAACAATAGTTATCAAATAATATAGATAGCTACTACACAAAGTAATTTTCTTTCTGAACCTGCTTTAAATGCAGTAATTCAATGTTCTGATAGATAACATAGAAATTAGGAATCCATTCTTGCCTCTTCTTGAAAATAGAAATAATTATATATGTTCTTTAATGGTCTGCTTTCCATCTCAGAGCTCCTCTTACACAGATTGCAATTCCTTAGTCAGTTTACAAGCTGTACACGAGACTTTAAACTCCAATCAGAAAGAACAGCAATATAATATGTTAATGCCTGTGTCTCAGTGCCTAGCACAAAGACATTCCATTTTTGAGTAAAGGTGATCATATGAATTTATGTTGATTCCTTTCTTTTAGACCAATAAAGCCCTGGATTCCATGATCTCTCACCTCAACCCTCTCAAACATCTAGCTACTCATCCTGGACTTGGCATCTTCTACTTAGAAAATCCATCTTTTCCCATGTTCTACCTGGAAAACATAACCTCATTCCTTAACATTCAACTTAGTATAATCTTTTCAGTGCAATCTTGCATCCCCAACTTCCTCATACCAACCCTGTACTTAGCAATAAGTACAAACCTTTACTGGAGGATCCATCATAATGAACTATTAAGTACTTCATTAAATGTCTTATAGTGATAATAAAACTTAATATTTTTGATTGCTCATGGCTCAGCAATTCGTACAAACTTTGACTGGAAGATTCATCACAATGAATTAAGTGGCTCATTAAATGTCTTATAGTGATAATAAAATTAATATTTTTGACTGGTCATTATGGCCCAGATACCATTCTAACCCCTTCAAATAACTCATAAGAGTTTTATTTTATGATAATCCCTTAAGGCAGGTTCTGTTATTAGCTTCTAGGAGGGGTCTTCAAAAGGTTCCTGGAAAATGTGTATCATGACTGTCAAGAATTTCAAAATTATTTGCACTAAGATAAACTTAACTTTTCATTTCATTTTCCACTAACTTTTTGAAGTATCCTCATATATATTTTAGAATTTTTGCATCCCCCATCCTTCTAGTTTAACACAATGCCCCAAACATTGTTGTTTTATAAACTTTGGCTTCCCAGTTTTACAAGTGAGGGATATCACACCTAAATTTACCATAATCCTTATATTCCTAGCTGAAATAATAGGTTAAGTGGTCATTTTGATGACAACTGATGAGTTTTTACAAATCATGAAAATTAAAGAAGAGAGCTATTGTAACTTACCTGCCTCAGGAAGTTTTAGCAGTGAGGTAAGTAAACATTTACTGAGCACCATCCATGCATCTGGTATGTTTCATATACTCAACCATTCATGAAGTAAACACCATTGATGCCCATTTTAAAAAGAGGAGCTTGAGACTCCAAATGGTTAAGTAACTTGCCCTGAGGTACTTCAGCTAATAAGAATAGCCAATATTTGAAGCCATTTTTATCTGAATCTTTCCACTATATTACTTCCATGTTTGCAATTCATAGTGATTACCAAATTAGAGTGGTATGATCTTTTCATAGTCTATGAACTATTGGCACTATTGGGAACCCCACGAAAACAGGAGATAACAAGCAATCATCCAATGTGAGCCAGATAAAGTCACATGGAAGAAAAGGCAAAGCATATTACCAAAAACAACTTTATAATAGAAATTGTAGCTAAATTATTTGCAAATCATTCACAGGCCCTATAATTCTTCCAATAAAAAGAGAAGATGGGAGAAAAATCTAGGTTTTATAACCCTTTTTGGCCAGTAAATAAATAATCCATTGTTGATACAAAAGTTAGAGGTGACTATAGATAATTTTTAAATGTAGCAAGAAGGACAATGTTTGAAACAAAATTAGGGTATAGTTTTAATTGGCCATGCATCCTTAGGCGCCATGATCATATCAAGCACTGTTGTAAATTTTCATTATTGCATCAGTTTCTCTTGGGCTTTAATTTGCTAAAGCTGTGCACATATGTAAAAAAAATTAGATTATTTTAGGGGAGATGTAGGTGTAGAATTATTGCTTATGTCATTTCTTAAGCAGTTATGCTCTTAATGCTTAAAAGAAGGCTAGCATTGTTTGCACAAAAAGTTGGTCTTTCCCTCCCCCAAATAGTAATGAAATTACTTCCGTTGAGTAAACTTTTCATGTCATCTTATAATAAAAGCTGAAAAAAACCCTTTGTTTCTATTTATAAAAAAAATGCTTTTCTATATGTACCCTTGGTAACAGATTTTGAAGAAATCATGTAAGATGATAAAAGCATTTGAATGGTACAGTAGATGTAAAAAAAATTCAGTTTAAAAGAACGTTTGTTTTTACATTAAATGTTTATTTGAAATCAAATGATTTTGTACATAAAATTCAGTAATATAAAAAATTTTCATTATTGCATCACAATAAAGGTTTTATTTTTCTTGTATATTTTACTAAAAATGGTTCCCTTGGTCATCTTCTCTACATCTTTTATCTTCCCATGTGTGGGTACTTGTTCTTTTGTGACCTTCTTTTCGCTGCTTCTATGTTCTTCCTATCTAAAGAGATTGATATCAGTCCTAGTTTACTTGGCTCTTTAGCTTCATCCAGATGGGAGCCTTTTAGACAAATGCATTTCTCCTGGGAAACAAACCACAAGACCTCTCTTTTCTTTGCTCATGGTTTGTAAGAGTCAGTCCCAGGAATCCCTTTGTGGGAACATGTTCATAGAGGAAGAATGGGTGACCTGTCTGCCATAGCTGGCCCTCCCTCTGTACACTGTCTCTATTCAGTAATCACAGGGCCTCTGTGGCCAGATGATATGTGTGCCTACAAGAGAGCTAAGAGCCACCAGATTCTGTGTTTTCCTTTTAGTGCACCAGGCATTTCCATGACTCAAGGAAATTTATGAAGATAAGAGTAGATGGGGCTGCATTTAAATAGTGATTCCTATTTATTGAATATATACACACACACCCCGCATCTCACAGTACCTAACTTAGGCTTAAAAAGAATTTGCAGAAAAATAACTCAGTTAACTGGCAACACTGGGATTTGAACACTGCTGTTTCTGAAGCCAGAGCTCACACTCTTACCCACTGTTCACGCTGCCTCAATACATCTATAAGATAAAGAAGTTGGCATCACTACTACTATCTAATATCAACAACAGAAACTGCACGACAGAATATGCAAGATATGCACTTGAAGAGTGCTTTAAATGAAGTCACTTTCCCAAAACTCACTTTCGCAAAACTGCAGTTGAAGCAGGCATGAAATTCCATGTTCATCCTGAATGCATTCGCTCCTCAACTCAGTGTATTTACTTTAATAATATCTCACAATATTTTATAAGCATAGCAAAATAACCATAATAACCTCTCAACCATCAAAGTTCATCCTGTCAAAACAACAATTTTGGGTATTTCTGAAAATAATATTTTTAAGAGATTTGTGCTTTCTTCATTATTGAGAAAAGGAGACTTACCCTGGAGCACAAACGCAGCCACTTATACAAGGGGAGGATGGGGCACACGTGAAGTTCATGGCCAGATTTGCACATGTAGTCTCACAATTTACACCACCAGCTGGTAAGTCAGGGTCAGGAAACCTGCAGTCAAAGTACTGTTTTCCCTCTGGGCAGACATGAACTTCAAAGATAAAGCACAAATGAAATGCTGTTAACTTCAAATTTATTCCACAGACAAATAATCTCATATTGAAATATTTAACCCACAGAAAACGTCCCGGGGCAGCGCTATGGTGCAGCAGGTTAACACCCTGGCCTGAAGCACCTGCATTCCATATGGGCACTGGTTCTATTCCTGGCTGCTCCACTTCTGATCCAGCTCTCTGCTGTGGCCTGGGAAAGCAGTAGAAGATGGCCCAAGTCCTTGGGCCCCTGCACCCGTGTGGGAGGCCTGGAAGAAGCTCCTGGCTCCTGGCTTTGGATCGGTGCAGCTCCAACCATTGCAGCCATCTGGGGAGTGAACCAGTGGATGGAAGACCTCTCTCTCTCTGCCTCTCCTTCTCTTTCTGTGTAACTCTGACTTTCAAGTAAATAAATAAATAAATCTTAAAAAAAAAAGAAAAAGAAAAGTATACTCACTTTAAAAAAAAAAAGTCCCATAAAATATTCTATGAGTTCTAATTAGATAAAGTTCTTACTGTGATCTTTCAGTGATGAGCTTATAAGCATTCCCTTTAATCAGTAAAAGTTCCAAAACCAATCTTGAATTTGAAACTATAAGATGCCTTTCATAAGGCAGGAACTAAATAACTAGTAAATAACTTTATGGGGGTATTTTATAGTTTTATTAATATTAACTTTTGAGGATTAAAAATAACATATATTTTTAGACTTTCACAAAGCCTGAATGAACACATGATACTTTTAGACCTAGCTTCATCTCTGTGTCATTATTTACATCAGTCCTCACCCTACTGTAAAGTAGCAGCAATTTAAGTCTAGGCAAGACAGAGGTGACATACTACTCCAGAAAGAAGCTTTTGGGCTTGCATGGGGCCAAGGTGATGGATCGAATGATGTAAATCCTCCTGTGAGAGTGCTGGGCACGTGGTGTCCCCTGCTTTAAGGATAAGTAACCCTGCAGCCAATGGGACAAGGCATTGGTGCTCACAGCTACTGCTACGTGTGTGATTCGTGAACACACCCTCTAAAGAAGCCCTAAATTAGCTTGAATCTTCATAAAGTAAATCCAGGACAAGTGATCTAAAGTTAATTTAATAATATGTACTTGTTAGTTCAAATAGTAACCAAGCACTAGCTCAAAATTGTTTTTACCAGCCTAACTCTTCCAGTCCAATAAAATGAATGAAAGGAAATGATTTTTATCATTTACCTAGAATTCCATCTGAGTCCCTGAGAATTTCAGGCTCTTCCTTTCCATGACAAAAACACATACTATTGTAGGTCCCCTAATTTATAGGATTGTCAGGAAAGATATTCAAGCAAAATATGACATCCTAAAGAGAGATGGTATTAGATGTCATTTTACATGCGATTTTTAATTGATTGCTTCTAGTCTCAGGGCCTTGCTCCTTATAATGTAGCCCAGGAGCCAGCAGTATTGACATCATTTTGGCCATCAGTAGAAATATAGGATTTCATGCAGTGTTCTGAAGCTACTCAATCAGAATCTGCATCATAACAAGATCTCCAGGTGACCATGTATCCATTAAAATGTACTGATCTCGAAGTGGGCTATTGGGCACAGTGGTTAAGTCACCACTTGGGATGTCCACATCCCATATTGGGTTCCCTGGGTTCAAATGCAGCTCCACTTCAGATCCAGCTTTCTGTTAATGAGCACCCTGGGAGTCAGCAGGTGACAGCTCAAGAAGGTGGGTCTCTGCTATCCACATGGGACACTCAGATTAAGCTCCCAGCTCACCTCAGCGTAGCAGAGTCCCAGGTGTTGTAGGTATTTGAGGAAGGAACCAGTAGATGGTTCTCTCTCTCTCTTTCTCTCATTCTCACTCTCTCCCTTTCAAATAAATAAAACAATTTTTAAAAACAGCAAATGTGCTGATCCAGAATAGAGTTTCCTAATTTATGATACACAAATGATTGACAACAGGTATCTCCATGTGCCTTTGGAGAATCTGAGGCAGGCCTGGGGGTAGACAGCATCCCTGAGCTGATGGGCTCTGCACCTAGGCTACAACTCGTGTTCATATCCTGGTCACAACCTGTCACAAGTTAGAAGGCACCGGAGCACCGTGCTGAGAAACATCCCCAACCTTTTATCTATATACATTGGCAGAGGGCGCTGTGAGGCATTCAGGACTCCAACAGGGGGTTAGCAGCAGTGTCACAGCTGCTTTCCAAAGGAAAAGATTCACCCGGAACTTACCAGGAGAGGGCGTTGCTAATTCATCACATTCTATGGTTCCATTTGAACACTGGCTAGAAGTAAAGAAAGAGTTAATTTGTGTGCACAAATCTCATTTTTTTCTATATTTCAACAATAACCTAATGTGAAAGAATTGATTGAATATATATACACGTGCTATTTTTTTCACTGAATGTTTTACAAACATTGGTCCAATTACAAACATAGCTCCAATTTAAAAACAGCTATTTCAGTTCAACATGTTTTGATCAAACATCTATGTGTGTAAAGTATTGTGATAAGCATGGGGATACAAAGACCAAAATTAATAGGCTTTACCCCAGTGCTTATATTCTAGTAGAAATAAATAATTTATTTATGAAGTGTGATACATACAACATAGAAATATATTTAAAAGAAATAAAACAAAGAAGGGCAGGCATTTGGCACACTGGTGAGGACACTGCTTGAAATGCCTGTATTTCACATTAGAGTGCTTTGGTTTGAGTCTTGGCCTCACTGTCCATGCCAGATTCCTGTTAACGTGCACCCTGGGAGACAGCAGGTGATGGCTGAAGCACTTGGGTCTGTGTCTCCCATATGGAAGACTCAGATTGAAATCCAGGCCCCAGCTCTGGCCAAGCTCTAGCCATTGCAAACATTTGGAGAGTAAACAAGTGAACAGAACATGTTTGTCTGTCTGTCTGTCTCTCTCTCTCTCTCATTCTCATTGTCTCCCCATCCCTCCCCTTCTCCTCTTTCTGCCTTTCAAATAAACAGAAATGAATACATGTTTTCTATAAAAGAAAAACAATATTAAATTGGTTTCTAACAGCCAGCTTGGAAGTCAAAGATGGTAGAGAAAGGATGGAGATTATGCTACAGGTAAGGTGGAAAGGTCATGCTGCCCGTCAGTTCCTGATGAATGTTTTCCAATGGCCCCTGAAGACTTTAAACACAGAAGTGACAGGTGTGGTTTGAATTCAGAAAAATCATCCAGGCAGCAGTGCTGAAGACAGAGTCAACACCTTCCTTGAAATCCAGGTTTTAAAGGCAGGGTATAAGGCAGAAATCACATACAGGCATATTAACACTGAAAAATGTCACAGGATAACAATGACAGGGAGCAACACATCACTTCTCAACAACTCCTACACTTTTTCCTTCAATTTGGAGTAGAACATGAGTTCAGATGAAGAAGCTGACTCATCTATAAAGGCCTCAACACATGCAAACTTAGCCTATGCATCATTTACCATAAGACTGACACTTAAAGGTGTGAGTTTCTCATAGAGGACCAGAAATAGACAGGTCTCAGAGCACACAGCCAGGTCTTCTATAGCATATATATTCTGGGACATAGGCTTGTTTGAAAAGAATGGCAGGTGACATCATTCATTTAATTTAATTTTCCCACCAAAGAAGGGAAGTTGCTTTGGTTTTGTTAAGTTTATTTAATTATATTAAACTCAAAAGAGATAGAATACCTTGGCAGAATGAAGGCAATTAAGACTAAAGGCAAGAAGACTGGTTAGAAATGTCCAGGGAAGAGACAGTGAGAGACAGTGAAAAGGCATTTGTCATGGATAGGGAGCACTGGATTTTAACTACATGTAGAAAGGGAAAGCCAGGTCGAGGATTTCTTGGCTAGCAATGTTGGAAGCAGGAGAAAGGAATCAGACCTGACTCCCAGATTTCCGGCTTTGGAAACTGTGGAAAGTAGTATGATCTGCTAGAAAAACATCCAAGAGATGGTTGGCTTTGTCTTGTTGGGGTTGGGGCAGGAACAGAAAGAAGGGTAACAATAAATTAAGCATAAACAATACACTGCTGTGAATACAAAATAAGCTGAAGGGCAAAGCTGGCCCTACAGCAAGCTCTGCAAAGCCAAGTTGCCTGGGATTAAATTCCACCAGCTTTATTGGCAAGTTGCTTAGCCAAATGTGCCTCATTTTCTTCACATGTGAAGTGTGATAAAGCAAGGCTTATCTCTTGGGTTATAGTATGAGTAAGTATTTTTATAATACATATAAAACACAATGATGGCAGAACAATAGAAGGTGCGCAGTAATGACTAGATATCATCCTTGTCACTACTATTATTGAGTATTATTATCTGGAGGCACCTATAGTGCAATGAAAATAAGGAGGTTAGGAGTTCTCTACAGATAAATGCAGACTACCTCACAGATATACTCCATTTTTAACAAGCAGATTATCCCAGAATGAGGGTTAGCCCATGAATAAATGCTTTCTTTGCTGAAATCTGTTTTGGAATTGCTTTTTTTTGATTCAGGAGATGAACCACAAAAACTAAAACTGCAGTACCCCTCATTTCTAAGCACCATAACCAACCCAAGGACTTCCATTTCACTGTACAACACTAAAATTCATAATTTTTCTGGAGTTATGAATATAAGACTCAGGCAATTTATGTTTAAATAACATAATGCAGTTATAGCCTATTTAAAGGTTATATTATCTTTCTTTTTTTCACTGCACAAGTCATGGTAGGCCTCTGCTATAGCAATTAAGATGAAACTTGGGATGTGCCTGAGCTTGAGTCCCATCTCTGCTGCTGACTCCAGCTTCCTGTTAGTGTGCACCTTGCTAGGCCCTCAGTAGGTGGATCCCTGACACTCACGTGGGAGACATGAACTGAGTTTTCATCATAGCTTTGTCCTGGCTCAGCCCCAGCCATTACAGATGTGCAGTGAGTGAACTACAGATGAGTCTTCTCTCTGTCTTTATCTTTCTGTCTCTGTCTCTTTCTATTTCTATCTTCCGGCCTTTCAAATACATAAGTAAAGAAATCCTTACAGAAGTCAGGTTTCCCTTACTGCTTTGTTTAAGAAATTATGCCAGCATGTGTGTCATCTTTCAAGTACAGTTCCCTTCATCGAAACCTACCATAAGCCAGTGGGGGTTGGGATGAGCTCTCCAGGTTGATAAACACTGCCCCTGTAGTGGCACCTGCAGTGATATCTGCAAGGGGGAATAAAAGATTCAGTTAATAAAATAGGATGTAAAATTCTCAAAAACCACTAAAATCCCAGTAAACTCTATGCTCTGTAATGGCTGTGGGGGACACACTCCACAATTGCGCTATTCTGTGAGTCCGCATGCAGTCGTGTTATACAAATAGCAGAAACGGTTTCAGTGGGAATTCCTGTGTAGCTTCAGATTTCCTTTCCTAAAATACAACTCACAAGCTGTTTAGTCACAAGAAAAGTCACTGGATGCACTTCAGACAAACACACCTGATCCATCCTTTAGCCCTTTGTGTAAGACAACAACAGTCTCATTGCCTCATTGGAAAACTGAGAAATTTCTGAGTGCTGACAGACATTACAATCCAGCTAATAAAATTTAGCTCATGACAGTAAAATAGACCTCATTACTGATATGGCTATGGTCAAAATAAGTGGGAATGAAGTTCAGTATTAACCATAAAAACAAGTAAAGATTATGAGAAATATTAAAGAAACTAGCAGGAAGGCTCATTGAACCGATAGGAAGAAAACAAGATAAACCTTAGATACTGTCATTCCCTCCCTGTGACTTACATAGGCACACAGAAGTTAAGCGTGTCTTCATAGAATTTGCCTTCAGGACAGTTACAGCCTTCAGCACAGTCGTCATTACACTGCTCTGGCAAAGAGAGAGAAGTGCAGGAACGGCGGCAAAAGGAGGAACAGAGATGGTACAGCATCCCCTTCTGGCACACCACGGCTAAGGACAAAGGAGCACCCATTGAGAATGGCGCCACAACAGGATGTGTCTGCTGAGAGGTCTTTGTCAAGCATACATCATGGGACAAAAGACATCAACATCCCTAAACAGAACATTACACAATTTTATAACCAACAATAAGAAAATGAGTCCATCAGTTCCAGCTTCAGGAGAAGGATGACAAAAGAATAAATTTATATTTTGAAATATTTTAAAATACAGCATCCCATAACATTGTAATAGCCTATACCATATGTACGTTAGTATATGAGGTCCTTTAGATGTCCAAAGAAGCTTCCTATCTACTATGGCTTGAATAAGATTCGGCTCCTGAACTCCTGCAGATGTTTAAAACCCATTAGTTATAAGTTAATGGAATTAAGAAGGTGGAAAATTACTCCAATTAGGGTGTTTAGAATGTGGACCTAGCAGGTGGTCCTTCCAAGGTAATTCTGCCAGGAAGACTGGTTCTCAAAGCCTGAGACAGACCCAGCCACTCCCTCTCTGCTTCCTGGCTCACCATGTGATCACGTCTCCACACACACTTTGCCACTGCCATCCTGAGGCCCCACCAGACTGCTGAAACAATAGGGCCTGACCAATCTTGGGCTGTGAAACTTCAAAACCATTAAGCTAAATAAACTGCTTTCCTTCAAAATTTAATCCTCTGAGGTATTGTAGTGATGGAAAGCTAATAAATACAGGAAGGTGGTACTGAGAGTGAGATCATTTTCACAAGTACACCTAAAACTGGGGACACAGCTTTAGAATGGGTTAACTGTTCAATATGGAAAGAGTTTGGAGGATCAGGCTAGGGAAAACATAAAATGTTGTAAGCAGAGTGATATGAGTGATTCTGGTGACGGCTCAGAAGACCAGTAACCTAGGAAAGAGCTAGAAGGCCTTAGAGATTGGTTAAGCAGTTGTGACCAGAAAGCTGATAGAAATGTTGACAGGAATGGCCATGGTTGCGAAGTTTCAGGCTGAATTGTGGGAGGCTGAATTTTAAAACGGTGTACAAATTTGTTTGTCAGAGGAGACTTCGTGGCAGCAAAGCATTCAGGCTGCAGAGTGAATGTTACTGGCTTCTGTTAGTTAAGTATTACACTGAAAATCAAGAGATAAAAAAAGTAGAAGAGAAAGATTTGGAAAATGCATGGCCTTTCCAGAGAAGGGAGGGAGAACTTGATCAGGAGAGCAAAGTGAAGGGAAGAAAGCATTTGCTAAACAGATAGTACAGGTAAAGGGAGCCATGTGCAAACAGGTCACGCAATGGGAGAAAGACCTCAAAGACATTTCAGAGATCTTCAGTGCTGCCCCTCCCAACACAGGCCCAGCGTCTTGGAGGGGCAGAGCACTTTCTGAGAGTTCACTCAAAACTGCTTCAGGATTTGTCTCCTTGTGTTCAGGTGGCAAAGCACTCTGGGGCTGCAGCTGAGTATCAGAGCACCCCAAATGTGGCTTACATGGGCAACAGGCATTGGCATCATCCACTGATGCTGCTTTTTTGGATGAGTAGAACATAAAACTTATGGGGTTAAGACAGCGTCCACTAATATTTCAATGGAAGAACCAGGAGGCCAGAGTTATTCAGGGTTGACGCCCCTGATGGAGTAGTGCCTAGTGAAGTCATGGGACTGAAGCCACAGTAGAGACCTCAGAAAGGTGGAGGTACCAGCAGTATGAACTGCCAACCGTGGAAAGCTGCAAGGAAGATGCCAGGAACCCTGGAAAGCCACAGACATCAGTGTGCATCTTCAGAGAACACAGACTAACAAAGTTATTGAGGCATGGATTTCAAACAACCTGTGGCTTAGTCTAGCAATATTATAGAGGTAAAATCACTGCAGAGAGCACCCACTAGGGTAATATCGAGGTGAAATGCGGGGTTGGAGCTGCCAGAGAGCCTCTGTGACAGCATCTAATAAAGCTAGAGATGAAACTCCAAACTGTGAGAACCTAAGCAAAGGCTTTGATGAGCAAAATAGCATGGCAGGGCAGCCCAAATGCTTAGCGGCTCACCTACTACAGCGTGCCCAGGATACTGGAAAAGGAGCCTTAGGGTTTGATGCTTTTTTGCTTGCCTTTGTTCTTGCTTTGCCTGTCCCATTGTTGCATCTTGGAAATAAATAATTTTGATTTTACAGGCTCACAGCTGGAAGATTTTTTTGCCTTAAGTCCTCTACAAATAAGGCAAAGTTCAATTTTATTGATCCATACTCATAGTTGTTATTTTTTGCCTTCTAAGTCATATTTATACTTTTTTCTAAACCTTTTGGACTTCCTTTTAGACCAAACTGAACTGATTATGATTGGCAAATTAAATAATTTAAAAATATATTTGTACAAACACCTGGAAAAATCAAGACTTTAGCTTTGCAGGTTGTACAATATCTATCACAACTACTCAACTCTGCCCTTGTTGCATAAAACCAGCTAAAAACAACATATCAACAAGTGAGCACAACTATATTCTAATACATTTTATTTACAAAACACAGGAGGCCCCAAGAGTTACGGCTTGTCAACTCCTAGACTAGAAGAAATCTGCTTGAAGTTGGCAGGAAAGCTGTTTTACCTACCAAATCTGAGATAAACAATGTTAAATCTAGAAAAGAAATCCTAGATTCTGCAAAAAATTTAGTATATGAAATTACATTACTTTATGTCACATTGTTTTTTCTTAAAACATCAAAGCAGAGCAATTAATTTTATCAACACTGGCCAGTGATACACCTGAAATAACTGGAAAATGTTTTGTGAAACCACTGGGGGAATAGTCAGGTACAGAAATTGGGGCCCCCAAAACCTAGGTCACAAAAGATCTTAATGGGAGAGGAGGTATCCTGTTAAAAATTAACTGTTCAAACAATTATAAAACACACAAGGAAACAATGTAGCAGGAATGAGACATCACAACCACGAAGATTTTTTCCGTAAGAATTTGAGATAATAATTGCGTGGGACTTTATGTATCTATTGAATTACAAATGAACTGTGTCACATAATGTGTTTCAATAGTTTCCAGTATTTAGATATGACATTTCCATAAGAATTTAAGTTTAAGCATGAATATTTCCATTGCATATTTCAGAATATATAATTACACTCTAATTTTGCTTATAACAAAAATAGTCAAAGGTTATTGGTTCTGACCCAAAATATTACTAATTTTAAAAACTAAATACTCACTTGTTTTCCACATTTGTACATTATAAGGATATTTCAAGTAATTTACATGCAATATTGACTTTTCATTTAAAAATAAAAGCAGTAATAATGCAAACACAAAAATCTCTAAAGTGTTATCTGATAGTTTTAATTTATGCCATCATACTCACCACAGAATGAAATTTGAGCTCTAAAATCGATGGGAATACCACGCTGGCCACAGAGGTAGGCATAATGAGAAAGGGCATTGCATAGGCAGGCACTTCCACACTTGCATGCATCATGGCGGCATAGCTGATAGTACAGTCCAGGGCTAATGTAGACATGGCAAGGAGCAAAGAGTTCCTGGTGGATGACATCACAATGTGCTGCATACCCAACTAATAGACAAAGAAGCCCATTAGCATCTCACTTACCAGTCCAGGTATTAATGCCCTAAGTATCAAGTTCTAGAACTTTTAAGTATCCTGCTTTCCCAGACATGTACTATATTGCATATCACTTTATATAAGAGCCAGTATTTTCAGCTTACAGAATTTTTGATTGTTTGTATTTTTAAATAATACAATGATACATAATCCATTTTATGCAAAAAAAAAACACAACAAAAAGTATATTGTACCTGAATAACATGACTAACAGATGCCACATAGTCATTGTGCTCAACACCTACACAATGCATAACTGTCTGGCAGATATTGGGAGAACTATGTTTGATAAGTGGATCTATGAATGCAAGGATAAATGAATAATGAGTAGAAGTTAGGGAATGGAACATATGCTGAAGGCCATGAAATATAACTCTCATATCATTTGGGGGATACACTGTTTCACTTCATTTCCTGATTTTGCCAAGAGAACGACCAATCAGATATAATCCTTCAGAGGACTAATAAGACGAATCTGTAAAACAATCTAGATCCCATCATTCCTTGAAGTAGAAGACCTAGATTATATTGGTTTCCCCACAAAATTCATCAATCTTTGCATTTTCATTATCTTTGAAAGACTAGATTAGTTGTTAGAAACCAGAGGATTTTTTTACTACCTAGGAATTATACTGATTTCTTTTTTGCATTATATATGTACATAATTTGTAAGGAAATGCAATAATCATGAGAGTAAATATATGTTTGTATTTGGTTTACAAATGACTTAGACTGTAGCAGTATACTGTTGACATATACATTCTCAACCCCAAGGATCCTGAAAGAGTAAAGTAATATGCTAATGAGACCTTTACTATGTCCCTTAAAGATTTGTAGAACTCTATGGATATTAAATAAAAGGTGATTCAAGAAGATCTTTGTAAAAATTATCCTTCAAGGTCCTGATTGGTTACTGGCTGTTGTCTGTTTTTATTCCTTTCTTTGGGGATGTTTTTCATTTACTCATTTGAAATTTTTTAAAGTAACAATTCATGGCAAAGGTAAGGATAATATCCAGAATATATATCATAGAGATAGGACATGGGATGAAAAGAGGTGCAAAATGGCATATGACAAAAAGTTAACTACAAAACATATAGTTACACAATAATTTAGCTAATAACAAAAATAGTCAAAGATTATTGGTCTTACTCAACCTATTGCTAATTTTAAAAACTAAATACTCACTTAAACTAAGGTCAAATATTCTGGGGCTATAACAGCAGTATTAGAGTATTTCTAGAGATTTTTCCTTCAGCATTTGAAGAGTCTGATATCTCTAGAATGCTAGCACATATTTGAAAAGAAAGCATTTCTAAATACCTAAAGTAAATTTATGAATACAAAGTAGTGGTTTTTTAATAAACTGATCAAAGGCATAATAGCAAACAAAATATATTAGAAATAGCATTGAATTTATCATAAAGAAGAAAATCAGAATCATTACATAATTTTACAAAATTTTATTAACACATAGAACTTCTTCCCAAGTTCATATACAGAAAGATAGACTTACTGTTTTGTTGATTAATGTTACAGGGGTCTACCATAGGGACATGCACAGGTGCAAAACAGGTGGTGGAAACTCTCCATGCATTTGCATGAAGTTGTGGGGTTCCTTCTATCATGCCAAAAGGAGAGCTAGAAAGCAAAGACAATGCTCATCTTACTGTCTCTCATTCACTTCATTTGTTCACTCTTCAAATATTAAAATAAGATGATAATATTTTTCTTGATGTTCAAAGAGATCTTCAAGCTTGAAATTTTCTACTAGTTTTCAAAAATACAATGGTACTAGCTTTATTTTACTGAGACTTAACAGTTTGCCAATTTGTAGACCTATATTATTGCATTTAAGTAAGGGAGGGTACTTCATATTATTCTTTACAAGCTAAATATCCCAAATAATGATAGTCTATATTTTGGGTTCAATCTTTCAATTTCCATTTTGAGGCTTAAAATACTGAGCTTCCCTCAGAAACAAGAAAACAAACAGACAAAAACAATTAAATACTGAAGTTCCATCAGAAGGTGCCCCCACACATATGGTTTTAAGGAAAACTGAGAGAAAATTGTAAAAAGGGACCCTTCATCCAGGTTTTCTCAGCTTCTTCTGGGGCTGGTTTAGCCAGCAAACCAAAATGGAAGAGAAGCAACTACCTTTCTGAAGTCAGACTCATAAACCACAATATTGTTTGGTGATCACTGTAATTTTTCCTCCAGCAGACATTAAGTTTTGTCATTCTGAGGAGGGCATGTGGTGTAGCAGGTTAGGCTGCTGCCTGGGATGCCTGCACTTCATATAAGAGTACTGGTTCAAGTCCCGGCCATTCAATGCTTCTTTTTTTTTTTTTTTTTTTTTTTTTTTTTTGACAGGCAGAGTGGACAGTGAGAGAGAGAGAGACAGAGAGAGAAAGGTCTTCCTTTGCCGTTGGTTCACCCTCCAATGGCCGCCGCGGCCGGCGCGCTGCGGCCTGCGCACCGCGCTGATCCGATGGCAGGAGCCAGGTACTTATCCTGGTCTCCCATGGGGTGCAGGGCCCAAGTACTTGGTCCATCCTCCACTGCCTTCCCGGGCCACAGCAGAGAGCTGGCCTGGAAGAGGGGCAACCGGGACAAAATCCGGCGCCCCAACCGGGACTAGAACCCGGTGTGCCGGCGCCGCTAGGCGAAGGATTAGCCTAGTGAGCCGCGGCGCCGGCTCAATGCTTCTGATATAGCTTCCTGCTAATGTGCCTGGGATGCAGTCTATGATGACCCAAGTGCTTAGGAGACCCAGATGGAGTTTCTGGCTCCAACTTTTCTCCTTTTCTCTCTCTCTCTCTCCCTCTCCCTCTTTCTCTGTCACTCTGCTTTTCAAATAAACAAATCTTTTTTTTTTTAAATATTTTATTTATTTATTATTCTGAGAGGTAGAGTTACATACAAAGAAAGGTAGAGACAGAGAGAAAGGTCTTCCATCCACTTGTTCACTCCCCATATGGCCACAGCTGCTGGAGCTGGGCTGATCTGAAGCCAGGAGCCTGGAGCTTTTATTGGGGTCTCCCATGCAGGTGCAGGGGCCCAAGGACTTGAGCCATCTTTCACTGTTTCCCAGGCCATTAAGCAGAGAGCTGGATTGAAAGAGGAGCAGCTGGGACATGAACTAGTGCCCATATAGGACGCTAGCACCACAGGCAGAGGCTTAGCCTACTATGCCACAGCGCCAATCCTGATAAACAAATCTTTTAGAAAGAGATGTATTAGTCTATCAGCCAACATTTATAAAGTGACAATCTTTGCTGGACAGTGTGCAAGACAATGTCAAAAACCTGATGGACTCAAGTAAGACTATGTCTCCTGTGGGAGACTTAATCCACAGTGCAAGCCCAGACTGTGTTAATTGCTACACCATGGCCAGGTGCTGGAGTAAGCTTTCTCTTAGCTCTCTAAAGTGCCCAAATATTTCAACTTCTTTGGTTACCATTTAGATCAGTCAGCTTCAACTGTACACAGTTTCTCAACTCCAGGACTGAGAAAAGAGAACAAACAGAACCTGCACAATCCATTTCACAAACCTTATCCTTCCCTCCCCCTTTTTCCTTCTATTCCTCAATATCAAACCATCTATGAACTGTAAATAATTATAACAAACACCTAATGCAAAAATGTCATTTTGTTCAAATGAGAAAACTGAGACTCAAAGAAATTTCATGACTTGCAAAACCTCTTTCTTTTCATTCTTTTCCTTTCCTTTCCTTTCCCCCTTTCCAAAGAAGAATAAAATAGATCAGAGAGCTTAAGTATAGTCAACGTTCCCAGTAGGAATTGTCATAGAGCTTAACTCTCAATTCATTTAGTTCACTTAAAAGAATAAATATCCCCCAAAATAGAACAAAAATGTAGTTCTATTTATTTACTTTTATCTCATTTTATGAAATAACCTTTCAGCTTACTATGGTTAATATAACAGAGCATACAAAATAAATTCTCAGGTAATTCATACTTTCCATTACAATATGTTGGCAAATTCACATTAGCCTTTGTGAAGTAAAGAATTTTTAATGATTTAAGTTGGAAAGCTAAACAATGTTTGAAAGTTATCTCTGACTCTGAAATATTATCCTCCACTCTTATCACGACTGAGTGTTTATTCATGGAAGAGAGGGCTGCCTTAGGAAGTGGCAGACAGATCTGCCATCTGTGAAACATTGACTGCTAACCCACTAGGACACATAAGGAAGGGAAAAGAAGCTTCATGTGTTTCCTGAACATCTTAGTTTAGCTAAGTTTCTGTTTCTAAACGCGATATTAATCACATTGGAAATAAAGTAAATTCTATAAAATTTTTAAATTTTTAAATTTTAAATTTTAAATGCCAGTTCTCTTTGCCCATCTGAATTCTCCTCTTGATACCCCCACTAAAAATTCAGCTCAGTTAAATTTCACTGCCCACTCTATAGATGGTTCTACGCTAACTCTGAAGAATACAAGGACCAAAGCCATTAGCTTAATTCTCAAATCCCTTGCAGTTTTGTGTAGATATAAATAATGGATTTTCATAGATAACACAGAGTTAAAATTTTCTTTATATAAACTAGCTTTCCGAATCAACTGATTGCTGAGGTTGACCAATAAATGAGATTTAGCCAGAGTGGTTAACAGAAGGGAAGATTTGTAATCACAAGGAAGAGTATCTGCAGAGGAGAAAAAAGAAGCATTGTACTTGGAAAATCCATTTTCCATGAAATGCCCTCTTTGCCCTGCCCACAGCCATCTCTGAATTCCTGCTGTGCTTCTAGTCATGACTGCAAACCTTAACAATCAATTTTTTGACATTATCTCAGTATTTTTAAATGTACCATTGATTGATACCTTACATAGCAATACATTTTTTTTAATTTTGAAATTATAGTTGAAAACTAATGGTATACAACATGATATTTTGCTACATGTATCTATTGTCATGTGGTTACATCAAGCTAATGAATATATGCATTGTTTGACATTCTTATCATTTTCCTGGTTGTGAAAACATTTACTATGTACAGCAATTTTCAAGTGTACAACACATTAACTATACTCATCATGCCACACAATAGATCTGACCTTGGTCATCTTGTGTAACTGAAATTTTGTACCACTCAGTCAACATCTCCAATCCATCTACTCCCACACCTAGTCCCTGGAAACCACCATTCTACCCTCTGCTTCTATGATTTTGACTTTTTTTTAGATTCTACAGATTTCTTTAAAGTCTTTATCCCCTTCTGATGTGCATTTCAATGTTTTTGTGAGTGAGGATTTATCATAGTGTTTAAATTTCATTTGCTTTACTTTCAGCATAATAGCTAGTGTTTCTTTTACCACTCTTATTCAATATAGTACTAGAAGTATTAGCAAGAGCAATTAGGGAACAGAAAGAAATAAACATTTCAAACTGGAAAAGAGTAAGTCAAAATATCAATGTTTGCAGATGACACGATGGTGTACATGGAAAAACCCAAGCACTCCACCAAAAAGTTGTTACAAGTGATCAACCAATTAATTCAGTGAAATTACAGGTAACAAAGTAAGCACACAGGGGCTCATGCTGTGGCATAGCGGGCAAGGTAACACTGGCAGCCCCTATGGGCACCAATTGTGTCCCAGCTGGTTCACTTCCTATCTGGGTCCCTTCTAATGGCCTGGGAAAACAACAAAAGGTAGTCCAAGAGGTTGGGCCCTGCCACTCTCATGGGACAGCTGGATGAAGCTCCCAGCTCCTGGTCTCAGCCTACCCCAGACCTGGCCATTGCAGCCATCTGGGGAGTGAAATAGAAGATGGAAGATCTCTCTCTGTGTCTCTCCCTATCTCTTTGTAATGCTGACTTTCAAGTAAATAAATCTTTTTTTTTTAAAGAAAACAAAACAAACATATAAAAATAGCTTTTTTATATGCCAATGATGAATTTACTGAAAGAGAAATCAAGAAAGGAATCCCATTCACAACAGCCACAAATAAAAAAATCAAATATTTAAGAATAAATTTAACCAAAGAAGTAAAAGATCTCCCTGGGGCCAGCGCTGTGGCGGAGCGGATAAAGCCGCCACCTGCAGTGCTGGCATCCCATATGGGCACCTGTTTGGGTCCCCCACTTCTGATCCAGCTCTCTGCTATGGCCTGGGAGAGCAGTGGAAGATGGCCCAGGTCCTTGGGCCCCTGCACTCATGTGGGAGACCTGGAGGAAGCTCCTGTCTCCTGGCTTTGGTTTGGCACAGCTCCAGCCACTGCAGCCATCTGGTGAATGAACCAGTGATGGAGGACCCCCCCTACCTCTCGTTCTCTCTCCATGAATTTCAAGTAAATAAACAAATCTTTAAAAAAATAAGATGTAAAATATCTCTACAACTAAAATTCATAAAACATTGATGAAAGAAATCAGCAAAAACATGGAAAATGGAAATATTCCTTGCTCATGGATTAGAAAAATTAATATAATTAAAATGTCTATACTATCTAAAGCAGTCTATAGATTCAAAACAACCCCTATGAAAATACCAACAACATTCTTTACAGAATCAGGAAACATAATGCTAAAATTCATATAGAATCAGAAAAGACCCAGAATAGTCAAAGTGATCCTGAGCAAAAAAAAAAAAAAACAAATTAATTAATTAAATAAAATAAAATAAACCTGGAGGCATCACAATATCATACTTTGAAGAATACTATAAAGCTATAATAATTAAAACAGCATGATACTGGCATAAAAACCAATACATAAAAACCAGTATAGATCAATGGGACAGAATGGAGCCCAGAAATCAACCCATGTGCATACAGCCAATTGATTGTTAACAAAAGGACTCAGCCCATACGTGGGAGTTAGAAAAATTTCTTCAACAAACAGTGCTGGCAAAACTAGATTGTATATGTTAAAGAATGAAATTAGATTCATACTTTTCACCTTATACAAAAATCTATACAAAATGGATCAAAGACCTAAATTTAAGACTTGAGATTATAAAGTTGCTATAGGGAAAACACTATAGAACATTGATATAGGTGACAACTTCTTGGAAAAGACCCCCAAAGCACAGGTAACAACAAAAAGAAAAATATATAGTATTACATCAAACTCAGAAGTTCTGCACAACAAAGGAAATGATCAATAGAATGAAGAGACATCCAAAAGAATGGAAAAAATATTCGAAAGCTACTTAATCAACAAAGGATTAATATCCAGAATATATTAGTAAGTTAAAAATATTAAAAAACAACTAATCCAGTTAATCAAGCCAAACCAAATACACACCAAAATCAAAATGAGCTATCACTTTATCTCTGTCAGAATGGTTATTATCTAAAAGACAGGGAGTAACATGCTGGCAAGTATGTGGAGAACACTTATACACTGATAGTAGGAATGTAAATTAGTGCAGCCACTGTGGAAAATAGTATTAAAGTATTGAGATTTCTGCAAAAAAACTAGAAACACACTTGCTATATGATCTCACAATCCCATACTGGGTATATACCCAAAAGACATGAACACATAGTATCAAAGATATACTGCACTACCATGTTTATAGCAGTACTGTCCACAATAGCCAAAATATGGAATCAACCAAGGTGTTCATCATTAGATCAACAAATAAAGAATATATATATCACATTTTCTTTATATATATACACACATTATGGAATATTATTCTTCTATAAAAGAGAATGAAATTCTACCATTTGCATCACAATGGATACAACTGGAGGTGTTATCAGGTTGAGTGAAATAGGCCAGACACAGAAAGACCACTACTGTGTGTTCTCCCTTACATGTGGGAGCTAAAATTAAAAAAAAAAAAAATTGAAAAACAAAGAAATGCCTATGTGTATCAGCATTGCTGCAAATACAGTTTTTTCAAACTTTGCTTAAACCTTGTCAAATGAATTGTTAAGAATGATATGTTACTACACTTCAAAATTTACTGCATATAGGTTAAGTGGTCATCTTTCAATTTGACTATAATTTATCGACTATTGTTTATATCCCCACTAAACTTAACCTATCAAGTTCTTTATTTGGTGAACAATTAAGTCTTGACTGTAATGTAAATTAAAAATATTATTTCAAAAACTAAAAGAAATAATGAAAGAAAAAGAGAAGAGAGGGAGAGAGGAAAGAAGGAAGGGAAAATCATTACATTCTTAGAATTGTATCTATGAATTATATTGAATCTGTTAAAAAGTAAAAATAAATAAAAATAAATTTTTAAAAATAGCAAGTTCTCAAAATATTTACATTAAATTATATTCTGCATTTTTCCCATGTAGGTAAGAAGTGCTTTCTAACACATTGGGTACAAATGTATTTCTTAGTTTTCTTCCAATAAAATCTCAACTATAACAAAATCCAATTAACTTAGATACAAAAATATTGCTTAAGGGTGTCATTGATATCATATGATATTAATATTTTAAAGTATAATTTACAGCAACTAATGCAAAATAGTAGCAAAAAAAAAAGTTTTTAAAGCCACAAGTTGCGGCCGGCTCTGTGGGGTAGCAAGTAAAGCCGCCACCTACACTGCCAGCATCCCATATGGGCTCTGGTTGGAGTCCTGTCTGCTCCACTTCCAATCCAGCTCTCTGCTATGGCCTGGAAAAGCAATAGAATATGGCCCAATTCATTGGGTCCCTGCACCCATGTGAGAGACCGGGAAGGAAGCTCCTGGCTCTTGGCTTCAGATTGCCCAGCTCTAGCCATTGTAGGCATCTGAGGAGTGAACCACCAGATGAAAGAATCTCTCTCTCTCTCTCTCTGCCTATGTAACCCTGCCTTTCAAATAAATAAATAAATAAATAAATAAATAAATAAAAATAAAGCCAAGTTTTGGGGCCGGTGTTGAGACACAGCAGATTAAACCACTGTGTGCAATGCCAGCATCCCACATTGGCTCTGATTTGTGTCTCAGCTGTTCCACATCCAATCCCTGCTAATGTAACTGTGAGAGCAGCAGAGTGCTCAAGTACTTGGGTTCCTGTGACCCACATGGGAGACCTGGATGGAGTTATAGTCTCCTGGCTTTAGCATGGCCCCGTCCCTGCCATTTGGTCAATTGGGGAGTGAAGCAGCAAATGGAAGGTTGATCTCTCTCTCCTTCTTACTCTCCATCTCTCATTCTCTTTCTCTTTTGTCCTAACCCTGTCTTTCAAATAAGTAAATAAGCAGTTTTTAAAAAGCTGCAAGTTTTCAGAAGGAAAATACTATTCAGTTTATTTAGAGACAGAGAAAATAACAGGTAGCAGTTGACCCACATGCTGAGTCATACTACCTAAATTCAACACCTAGCTCTACGATATGGGAGTTAACTGACCTTCAATGAATTATCTGACATTTCAGGCCTTGGTTACTTTCCTTGCCTATAAAACAGATACTAATTAAGGGACTGCTACACAATTTAAGTATGATGACTGACCCCCTGAGGCTCTTGGAACAGTGACTGCTAAGCTATTTGTAGTTAAGTAAACATTTTTAATTAATTTATATCCTCTAAATTATTTCATTAAATTTAGTTAGCTATACAGAAATCATACTTACAGAAAATCATCCCTTATGTTCCCATTAAAAGTGCCACACAGACCCAATGTTCTCCTTTTCCATGCACTAGTGAGCTGAATATAAATTCTTTCCCCATCTATAGCAAACAGAATCTTTAAACCAAATGTGGTTTTTAGAAGAATAAATAAGGATGACAGAGTTTGAATTTCAACAATTCCTGTAGGAAAAGAACGTACATAAATCAGCTTTGCAGTTCATAGGCAGTGACCTGAAACATTAGCATACCACACCAGGACTCTTTCTCCAAGACACTGGGATGTCTGGGAAAGCAGGTTCATAGTCCACAGCTCCAGGCCCAAATTTTACCACTGCATGGCTGTTCTATTTTTTCCCATTCCTTTTGTCTCCCTCTTTCCTGGGTATTCAGGAGCCAATTTTATTAAGTTGTCAAGTCAAACTCTCAATTGGCAAGCACCTCATAAAGAAGGGGACAGTCCCTGAGCATTTAAAATCTATTTTTCTTGTACATGGGAGAGTTTGTGTGTAACTATGTGTATAAATTTTAGCCAAAACTATCATAATTCAAAAGGAATTAACATTTTTCTCAAAAACTCTCCATTTCCTTGAGAGTGTCAGCAAAATGGAGAACCACAGCACTGGATGAATATCATTCATAAGACACTTGTAGATACAAGAAATTTGTGTTCAAAACTGTTAACCGGAACTGGAGCTATGATGAAAGGGGTTAAGCTCCCTCTTTCAATGCCCACATCTCATAGCGAAACACAGGTTTGCAGACAAAGACTCAAGTGCTTTGGTTCCTGTCACCCTTGTGGGAGACCTAGATGGGATTCCTGGCTCTTGGAACTTGTGATGTGAACCAGTGGAAAAAGACTTCTCTCTTTCTTACTCTCTCATTTTCTCCCTCCCCTTCTGTCTCCCTCCTTTCCTACCTCTCTGATACTTTGCCTTTCAAATAGTTTTTAATTGAATTAACATTTTTTCCACCATAAGAGTTGCTCTTTATTTGCTCCTGTTTCCTTAACCCAATCTCTGCCATGAATATGGTCACCAAAGCCAGAAATCTGAGAATAACTCTTGATAATTCCTTTCCCTTAATAGCCCATTCTTAATCAACCCCAACCCAATCTATCATCAAGGTCAGGCCGCCTTTTTTCTAGTTACTTTTCCAATCTGTTTTCCTCCTTCCAGGTTCACTATCACAGTTCAGATCAGCTCCTCTTCCTTCCTTGCATGCCCTACTTTATAACATCTGAATTACTGTCCATGTTTCTTGTCTAGTACCTCTCAAAGTCACATCTACACTGTTAGAGTAATCTACAAAAAAAAGTCACATTCTTAAAATTCATCATTTATTTAGTTGAGCTATATGAGATTGTCATCTTTATATACAAACTGGTCAAATAATGACAATTTCATATCAAGTTCACTTTCCTTAGCATGATATTTGTGTAGCATAGGCAGGTCATCTGTAATAAAAATCAGAGCACTTCTGAAAGAAAGTGTTATTAACAACTCTGCTGGAACGCAGGCATAAACAGGCCTGTCCCAGGAGATTACTAGGTCTGATGTCCCATTTATTAGGCTTCCCCTGTCTCATCCCCACCAACTTCCCTAGCTCATCCCTAGATATTCTCCACTTATGCACTTCATGCTATAGCAATGTCAAACTAGGTATAGTACCCTAGAGATAGTGTACAGTTCTACACCTCCCTGACCTGCCTGGAACACTGAGCCTATCTCCTTCACTCTAGATATTGTTCGGTTTCAAATGTTCAATGACACATCACCTGCTTCATATTTGCTGCTGTTGTTGTTAATGTAAAGAAAGTGCATCATTAGCGTTGCTTCTTACCATTCAGATTGAAGCCTTGGTTAGGACTGGTGAGGATTTGTCCTCCCCTGCTGAGAGTCACTTGCTTGTTAAAATCATCCTCCAGAATTAGAGTTATAGACTGAAGGCAGATCAAGCCAAGATTCTGCATAAAAATCAAATTGTCAGTGAAAGGAATGAGAGATAGAGACATGGAATCAGATACAAAAGATGGGGGAGGAGAGAAAGGAATGAAGAAAGGAGAAAGAAAGTACATGTAAGTATGGATTTCTTGTTTACAGAAGATTTGAGCATAGGTCATGTAATACAATACCTGCTACATACTCTGTTTTATGTAACCCATTTCTAATAAAACATATCTCCCTATAGTTTGTATGATTTCTAATAAAACATATCTCCCTATAGTTTGTATGCTATTTCATACACAGATTTCACATACAGCATTAAATAATTAGGTTCTAGTAATTGCTTTTTCTGAGGCACATAGTTAAAATAGCTCTCCAAATTAATCTAAAAAAATTCAATAAAGAGAAGAACCAAGAGAATTAGGAATCTACATAAAAGGTTAATTTATATTATGATATATTACAAAACAAACTGGAAAGTAAACAGAGTACTTCAGAATTTTTATTGTAAATAATTAGTTTATATCAAAGTAAAACTTAAAGATTATGGCAGGAGTTTGAGTGCCTAATTTAGGTAGACACAGATAAATGAATGATCTATGTTTAATTATTCACAAATCATTGATGTTTATTATTTTGAGACAAGATTCAAAGTTAAAACTTCAACATGTTAAGAAATTGATCACATCTGTATAATATAATACCTATTTATTATTGTCAGAAGTTATCTTTCTGGATATGGCATTGTGGTACAATGGGTTAAGTCACCACCTACAACACTAGCATCCCATATGGACATGGGTTCAAGTCTCTACTGCTTCACTTCCTATCCAGCTCCATGGTAATGCAAACAGGAAATCAGTGGATGATAGCCTAAGTGCATGGGCCCCTGTTCCCCATGTGGGAGACCCTGATGGAGTTTCAGGCTCCTGGCCTTGGCCTGGCCTATCCCTGGCCATTGTGGCCATTTGGGGGAGTGGATTAGCAAATGGAAGATCTGTGTGTGTGTGTGTGTGGGTGTGTTTATCTGTCTATAACTCTGCCTTTTAAATAAGTAGATAAATTAATATTTTTGAAAAAAGTCATATTTTTAAAATATCTGGTTTTGAAGTAAACAAAAACTTAGATTAGTTCAAATGTACAATCATGGATGAAACCTTCAAAAACTATAAATAGAAATACCATTTCTAAATAAATAAAATACAATTAAATATATAGTACTTTATTCAGTCTAAGACATATATGTTTTCATATTTATTTTCTCTGAAACCAAGATGCAGCATGTAAGCAAAAATACATAGAAAAAACAGCCGGCACCGGGCTCAATAGGCTAATCCTCCGCCTGTGGCGCCAGCACACGGGGTTCTAGTCCCGGTCAGGGCGCCAGATTCTGTCCCGGTTGCCCCTCTTCCAGGCCAGCTCTCTGCTGTGGCCCAGCAGTGCAGTGGAGGATGGCCCAAGTGCTTGGGCCCTGCACCCCATGGGAGACCAGGAGAAGCACCTGGCTCCTGGCTTCGGATCAGCACAATGCGCCAGCCGCAGCATGCAGGCTGCAGCAGCCATTGGAGGGTGAACCAACGGCAAAGGAAGACCTTTCTCTCTGTCTCTCTCTCTCACTGTCCACTCTGCCTGTCAAAAAAAAAAAAAATACATAGAAAAAATGATTTATCTTAATTATCAATGTTGGTTTAGTTGTGAGGAAACTAATTACATCAATTCATGATACAACTCTTAATTTGGATATGAAGTTTAAGTTTGAAAAGGTGAATATTGCTCTGGTCATTCTGAGATGTTGTCCTTACCTGCTCACAGGGAGCTTTCTGTAACGTGATCGTGAATTTATCTTTTCCAGTTCCTTTCACAAGGATGTACTGGCACATGCCAATAAAAGAATAATGTCGACCATCAAAAGTTGTAAAGTGAGAATCACCCACAACAGAGCATTGAACTATCAAAAAAAAAAAAAAAAAAGAAGAAGAAGAAGAGGAGGAGGAGGAGGAGGAGGAGGAGAAATAAGTGAAGGAGGAGGTGGAGAAGTAGAGGAGAGGAGAAGAAGAAAAAGAGATGGATATGGAGAAGGATAAGGTAGAGGAATAAAGTATATTAATTCTTAAAAGGCAGGAGGTCAATTCTAGTAAATAACCCAAAGAACAACAGAAAGAATATCTAAAACATTTAAAATTTATTTTCTTGACAAACTTATGATACTTAATTATATTAGTCAATTTGATTTAAAATTTATAAAATAACTCTTTCACATACTATTTGAGTTTTATAATATTTATGCTATTTTAATACATTTTACCAAAAGTTGCCTGCTCAAAGCTATCATTTATTCAATTTTTCATTTATCTGCCAAATACCTACACTTATAGGTATTTCACCCCATGATATCTGTGAAATATCTTTAAAAATCAATGCTATGTTCCTCCCCAATTTAAAGGACACAGAAATATTTTCTTCAAAATCATTTAAAGGATTACCTGGACAATCATGTTCAGTGCAGTTCCAAACTCCACCAACACATACACTAAATGAAATCATAGAAATATTAAATTCACTAGCCTAGAGAAACTGTATTAATGTTTGTATCAATGTATTGATTGACATGCCAAATATATCACATTTACAGGTTCAGAAAAATTTGACTTTAAATGTTTGTGTGGGAGCAAACTGTTGAAATCTTTACTTAATGTATGCTAAACTGATCTTCTGTATATAAAGAGAATCGAAAATGAATCCTCATGTGAATGGAAGGGTAGAGGGAGTGGGAAAGGGGAGGGATGCGGGTGGGAGAGACGATATGGGGGGGAAGCCATTGTAATCCATAAGCCGTACTTTGGAAATTTATATTCATTAAATAAAAGTTTAAAAAAAATTTTGACTTTAAAATATCACTACAAAAGTCTGATTGAAATACAAATTTGAGTTGCTGACTGGCACCCTATTATTATCTACTACACGCCACACTTAAAAACCACTAAAGATAATGAGGATCATCAGACATTAAAAGAGAGATGTCCTCTATATAGACAAATGCTACCTTCTACCTTGACAGACATAAGAGCTTTACAGAACACAAACAGAATCCCTTTTAAGGCAGGAACTGAAATCATCAGCTAAGAATATGGTTAGTTATCTGATTGCATTTTACAAAACATATTGAGACAAAAGGGAAAAGAGTTTAATGATATTTGGACCTCTGTTTCTGTTTAGGACTGTTGTAGAGGGGTTGCATATTTGCCGATATACTTAATTTAGAAGGGAATTCTAAATATTTCTATTCATGGTTAAAAAATACTAATATGGAGAGTCACTTTTTAAAGTACTCAGTATAGAAGGCTGGAAATACAAGTACTAAGACTAAAAGCAAATTAATGATTATGAATAATAAGAAAATACAACAGATTCATCATTGGTTATAAGATTTTATGGAACTACCATGAGAAGCAATAAGAATTACAAAGTCAAAGTAGCTATCCCTCCACAGATATCAAATAAAGTACAAACCTTGTCTCATAATTTTTAAAAGAAAATAAATAGGAAATATATTCCTAAAAACATCTGTCATGGTAAAGTTGCTAACCAGCCATAAGCAAAGAAATAATTGACTATACAGTGATCACATACCATTCAGTACATTCTTGTTCAATTTTTGAACCAACTGAATAAGCTAATCCATGAAAAGTACACGGACAATTTTCCAAGGAGATGCAAGTTCCATTTTCCATTATGAGGCCTATTTAAGAAAAATGTGTAATAATTTCTCAATAGAAATAATAAAGATTGTATCCTTTGAAATATAAAAATTCACTCAATTTTTGTTAAATACTTGCTTGTGCTAATGACTAGAAATTCAAATTCCTTTACTTTTAAGAAAATTGCTGACAGCACAGTCAACAGCTATGTGATATCGGTCTACTTCAGTAGTTTTAAACATTTTTATCCCACGACTTTCCATCAAAAACTCAAGGTTCACCATACAGAATAAGGACAAGTCAACTGAGAGAAAGAATATTGTTGGTTTTATATCTGTTCACTCCAAAATGACAGAGATTTATGCTATCAACACACAGGCAACAGTGCTGCAGGGCACTCAACAGGCCAAAACGATAGGATTGTGTTCATTACTTCTTTCTGACAAGTGAAGGAAGTTTAACCAGAACCTAAATCAACCTTGTCACTCAACACACTGGTTCATTCAGCTGACCTTCTTTTATAGGAAGACATTGTAGAAAAAAGCATTGATTTATATTGTGGTGCATGGATTCATAGTCTGTGGGGAGCAACTGGGACTAGACTGTTACTGGAATTAAGACTTATTCTATGCATCTGCTCTCCCACAATATGGCGCTGGGAGAGGAGCAAACAGCTTCTACCCAGCTGCCTCTCACCAACTTGACAAGCTGCAGGAGCTGCTCCTGATTGGAGGAGAGCAGCGTGCTCAGCGTGTGGGTAGCAGAGCACGGATTGGTGGAGAGGACTATATAGGAGGAGAGAGATGGCATGGTGGTGTGGGTTGGTTGGAGAGTGCGTTGGAGAGTTTGCGGGGAAGTTCGTTGCTTCGTTCTTTCTCATTTCTCTCTACTCATTCTTGCTTTGGGAGTTCGCTGTTTACTTATTCTTACTTTACTATAGAAAGGACTTGTAAAAAAAGGGAACAACAAGCATCCGGTCCGGTGCGGCTCCTCCGCGTGCGGAGGAGCAACAAATGGTGCCGTGACTCGGATATGAAGGCTAGGCAGGGTTTTGTGTCGTTCCTCCATGAAGAGGGGGAGTGACATAATGGTGCCGTGACTCGGATATGAAGCCTAGGCAGGGTTTTGTGTCGTTCCTCCACGAAGAGGGGGAGCGACAATAGTCTAGTGCAAACTTTTTATCTTGTTATTGACTATTAACAAAGCATTCAAGACTAGTACAGTTTTGTTACAATGACACAGAACAATACACTGAGGTCAAAAGATTTGGTTCCAAATAAGCCAAATAAGCTTCATTCATATTAACTATATGACTCATTAAGTATGTGTCTTAACATCTCTGGAATTCTATTCTTTTTAATCTGTAAAAATCAAAGTGTTTAAGTAAATTCGCAGTATTCTTTATAAATGTAATCAGTGTAGCAGAGTCGTTTCTAATTTTAAATCTCCCTTAATTCCATAATATGCTATTTTCATTGCAATCTTGTACTAGAAAATGTGAATTTTTTTCAAATTTGCTTTCATCCTTTTACAAAAAAGAAATATGCAAATAATTAAATATAAGGAATCAAAGAATTGCTGTTGATAACTCCAGAACTATAGCAAAACCAAGACACAATCCTCAGATCACTGAGTGCTAGTATCCATCAGTTCAGCCATGCTTTTTATAAACCACTTACCATCTGGGCAGTAACATCCGTCGAGACAATGGAGATTGCTCCCAAGACATTGTTTATCAAATGTGCAGGTGGGTGGGCAACAACTGATACAATCCCGATGGACAAAACTATCATCACATTTATCAACTGAAACGGGAAAATCGGAGCTATAAGTCAATTGTATTCATCTGTCTTTCAAAAAGTTAGTGTTACTAAAAGTATGCAAGTGTACAAATATACTTATATCAGTAAAAATATTCTTGCAAATCATTACTTTAAGTACTGGGGTAACTGTTGAGTTCCAAGACAAGGTTAAAATCAATGCAAACAGAACTTGCAAAAAAAACAAAACATACTGCATGCTGGAAAGTCATCTCTCCAGTCCTGAATAGGATAGCCAGCATGTGAACAGGCTCTGGCATATTCAGTGGCTGCCCGACAATAGGTTTCATCATCATCAGTTCTGGAAAGTGAGAAGATGGAGCCAGAATCACATAGCAAAGACTGACACAAACTCTGCCTTTGAGCTTCTGATTCCTAAGAATGCTGACTGTATGGTGAATATTCCAGTATTAAGTTAATTCAGAATATATGTCTCTCATGATATATAATAGTAGGGAAAACAATGCAAAAAAGTACATAAACATGGGAACCAAGCCTATCAGACCTAGATAAACTGTCTTCATCAATATCTCTCAATAATTTTGTCATGGGTCTTTTGAGTTAAGAGACAGCTATACTGAAAAATACTTCTAAATTATGAAATACTTCCCCAGATCCTTTCATGTACTTTTTGCTTATATTCATAGTATCTCAGACCTTTTAGAAAACAATCCATTCCATGAAAACAGAAAAAATTATATTCCAACAAAAACATCAAATATGAGAACTGATTCCGTGATAGCACACTCTTCTTGCCCACATGTCGGACTAAAACCAATGTCAAAACTCTGTAGCACTCGGAATTATTTTGATGATTCCTCAACAGTGCTTATAATAAGATTTCAAAACATTTTTGAATGACAGAATAAATAGCATTTAAGATTTAGAACAAGATTTTGAAACCTTTCAAGCTTCACTAAAGCCAGTTACTTTTTTAACATTGCCAAGAGTAAATAAATAATCTCTAATTATTTTTCTTATAATCACCTGAGAAGCTCCTACAAACAATAGTTGCTTATGTGAATGCCAATTCCAAAAGCAGATTACCTAGTCATTGATAAAATAAACAGGATTATAATAAGGCAATGGACTTGTTTTTTGATCCAATCCAAGCTCAAAATTGAATTGTGAAATATCCTACAGGAGAACACCCTAAGAATGTTGTGTTTTGCAAGCCTTACCATTGCAAAAGCAATTTATTGTAAAAGCTACCATCTCTATTAGAAAAGCTACCATACCAAATTGCATTTATCCTCTGCCTCTGTAACTGGAGTCGTGCAGTTTATCTAGATCAATTAACTGATCATAAGAAGGAAAAAAGGACTGAGAATACTCATACAAACTTCAGAATTCAGAGAACTTTCTAAACCTTTGAAGAACAGTCTCTGGAAAACAGTGTAGAACAAAAATTGTTGGATTATTGGAAAGACATTAAGCTTATGATTCACCTTAAAACATGTACATGCTTTCCTATAATTCATGGTGGTTTTGAAGGTTAACAAAGTGACTATTGGTTTTCCAAATCAATATTAAAATACTTTATAGTAAATGTTTATTTTGCTATAGGCACATTAACTCATGGCACCATGAAAAAAATGCAGTAGAATTCGGCAAGAAAGTAATAAGTATCCTAATTTACTAAACAGGAGTTTGATTTCTTTATTTTGGATGATAACTTTAAAAAGGGAATTGAGCATTAAAAAGTAGTATTTTCTTAATCTATGCTTTGGTAAAATTAAAATTACTTCCCTGATGATAAATTTGACATTCCTTGATGCAGAGATAGGAGGGCATAATATCAAAGACTGGCATTGCATCCCTCTTCAATTCCAACTCAAAAGTTCTCTTCACTATGGAGCCTTTGTAGGCTGTCACTGATAAAGCTAGTAGTTTCCTCCTCCCAGTCCATAGCAATTTGCATTTAGAGGATTGTGTCTCTGCTGGAGACCTGATTCTCTGCCCAATTAGAACATGAATTACTAGAACAGAGGCCATGCCTAAGTTGATTCCGTTTCTCCAAGGTACACCACAATGCTCAGCTCAGAACCGATGCTCAAAATGCGTGTACTGAATTGAATTCAATAAAGTATTATAATCCCAGTAGGAAATTATTTTTTTCAGCCAATTCATATTTTCCTTCTTATGATAGGATCCCTGTGATGTCATTCCCTAATACAGTAAATTAAGGCAATCATTCATTTCCTATAGAATGGAAGAAAGAAGATAGGTCTATTCCTGAGTGAAATACCAAAGAAAAAGATTAACTCTGGCAGCTTCTCACTTGAGCAATAATATGTCTTTTCTTGTATGAAATGCCTGCTTTGACCACAAACCTAGCATAGCTACCCTCAACATATCTCTTAAGATATTACCTTATTTCTGTCCTGCTCTTTTTTTTATTTGCCCTGGAGAAAGCATCAAAATTCCAAATGCCAAAGCCTAAATATATTGTATTTCAAAAGACAAAAATGCTGGTTTGCTGCAGTTAACGCCTCCACCTGCAATGCTGCCATCCCATATGGGCACCAGTTTTTGTCCCAGTTGCTCCACTTCCCACCCAGCTCCCTGCTAATGTGCCTGGGAAAGCAACAGAAGTTGGCTCAAATCCTTGGGCCCCTGCAACCTCATAAGAGATCCTAAAGAAGCTCCTGGCTGCTGGTTTCAACTTGGCCCAGCCTTAGTTGTTTCTGACATTTGGAGATTAAACCAGTAGAAGGAAGATTCTCTCATTCTCTCTCTCTCTCTCTCTCTTTCTCTCTCTCTCTCTTTCTCTCTTTCTCCCCGTCTCTCTGTAACTCTGTTATTCAAATAAATAAAATAAATCTTTTAAAAATGTTAACTCCTAAATGATTAAACTTAAAATGAAGTGGGTGGGGCAGAACTGCTTTTCTCCCTTCTTTTCAGTATTAGAACTCTTTTAAGATTTTGTTGGGCACTATTTCACTTCTGAAGCGGCTTCCTTCTAATGTGGTTGGGAGGCATCAGATGATAGCTCAAGTACTTAATGTTGAGAAACCCAGAGGGAGTTCCTGGTTTCAGCCTGTATGTATGGGCATTTGGAGAGTGAATCAGCAGATGGAAGATCTATGTCTCTCCCTGTCACTCTGGCTTTCAAGTAAATAATAAGTAATTTTTAATGTAAAAAAAAAAAAGATTTTGCTGGGCATATAATTGGCCACCAAAAGACAACATTTCTGACCTCAATTACATCTCACTGTGACCATGTTACTAAGGTCTGGCCAAAGGGTTAAAAATGGGAGGTTTGTGAACTTTCCACTTCAGATGATACTAACCTCTACTTCCTGTCTCCCTTTCTAAGAGCTAAAATGTGGGCATGGTGGTAGTGACCCAGTTTTTGCCAGGAAATTGAGACTAATGTTCCAGGCCAAGAGGGTTATGTAGCAGCAATGCCGCTGAGTCACTGAAAAACTCAGGGAGGATCCAGATCACTTATCAATCCAAGATCACTTGTTAATTTGGATTTTTCTATGACAGAAATATAAACATTAAGTTTAATTTGAGCCATTGTTACCTTGGCTGTTGAAGCAGCCAAAAAATATCCTAAGCTAGTAAATGAAGACTGACTTTCATGAGCCTACCAAATGATATTTCATTTCCCTGCTTGAAAAATGGAGAGCATAGATGCTAATGATAACACAGTTGAAAACACTCCTGGAGAATACTCCAAGAATAAATCACTATGGAATAAGAACAAATTTTTAAATTTCATACATATGTCAAAATAAGAACCATGGCCTACCTACAGGTCTCAAAACAGAAACAAAGAACAAATAGATGTAACAGGTATCTTTTTCAAATAGATAAAATAAGGAAAGAATTTTTAAAAATATATAGTAAGATGACTACCCAATATTTTAAGGTTGGGAATCTATCAAATTTAGAGACAATACATACAAATCAAGGTATAACTGCATTCTACCCAAAATTAATAGATGTCACAAGTAAACTTAATACTTGGAAAATATTATATTGATTACTCTTGTAATAATCTAAATTTAACTACAGAGAAATAGTTCTTAGATAACATAATCTTATACTATCACAACTTTTCCTCTTTGTTATCATCTTTGGTAAACCTGAGCCTTTTAACAAGTCACCCAAGATGTCATTTAGGTAGTTTTAGTCAACCAAAAACAAGTCTGATACTACCAAAAGAGTTCCATGTATCATTAACTTCTTGTAATATATAAAATATGTAAAAAATACTAAGTTCCTTGAGGTAATCTTAAACATTCAAGGTGGTTTGCCGCATACAGTTAGTAATTGTTTAAAAAAAATAAACAGACCACAAATCAACAACAGGTAATCTACAATTAGTTCTACAGTGATGAACAGAGTATGATAGTTTCATTGAACATAGTGACTGAAAAAATACCTATTCTGGTTGTCTTTTGCCTGGAATAAAATAAGAGAATCTGTGACCTTGGATAGGAAAATTACCATGTTCACTTTTAGTAATCTCCAATTGAAACTTAATATTTCCTGCTTTCAATTACACACATTACCAAAAACACATCACAACATTGTTGGCACTATTGACTGTCACCAACATGTATCAAAGCTCATTTTTTTTTCACAGTTTATTTCCCATTAAAATTTTTGGAGCTATCACAAAATATTTCTTACATTTTTCACTATGTCAAATTGTAGTAATTGTTATATTTGAAGAGTATATAAATCACCAATTTATCAAAAATTCATTTTTTTACTATTTTATAGTTTGACTTGTAACCCTATTGCTTAATTTTATGCATTTCACACATTATTTTGAAAAAAGAGCTACAGAGCGCTCTAGACTTCCAAAAGGGGTCAATGACACAAAAATATTTAAGAACTGATGTATTCTGTTCACGGTGCTTAAGTAAAACATTTAGACTGTAAATCGTTTATAATTTATAGATACTAATAGCTGATAGCTAAATTTTGTACCCTGTTATATTTTGGAAACTATAAAATGGTTATGTTACAGAAGTGGCTTTCACTGTCCTTTTGCCTTAAAAAATTTGTTTTGCAAATACTCATCATTTCACTTACTTGCAAAGATCATTAACACAGCTGGCAATATATAAGTATGGATCAATATATTCATGGCAGCTCAGAAAAGGGAATTGCAACAGTATCTGGCACTTGAAGAAGATTGCCTATTTGAAAAAAAAAAATATAGATACCTGTACTCCAGAACATGCCATAATGATATACGTATTATCTCTCTCTCTCTCTCTCTCTGTACTATTTGTAAAGCTCTCTTCTTACCAGGTAAGAGAAGGTAATTCATACTAACAAATTTTGACCACCAATTTTCTAACTACATATTTTCATGTTAAGTACCAATGATGAAACTCATTACATTCACTATTTTTTAAATAATGTTAGAGTTATTCCCTACTGCAATTATATTTCCTGGATTTAATACTTTTAGATATATTGTATTTGCCCTAAAAATGCTTAATGCTAAAGATATAAATAATGCATGTATTATATCTAACAGATCCAAATCTTTCACATCAAATTTACCTCAAATGCTGGCATTCCACTAGAGCATGGATTTGGAAAATCTGATGGTGTGGGTATACATTTAGTGTCATCTGGTGTTTGCACTGACCAACTATTCGCAAACGTAGCAATGTCTTCTGTATAGTCCTCTATTTCACACAAACACAACACAAATAAAAGAAGTATAACTTATTTTCTGGAAATACAAACAGTTTTTCAATATAAATTTCTTGGTTTAAATGTTAAACTCAATAACATTGTAATATTAGACAATGTGATATTAGACAATAACATTATTTTAGCATAATAAATTGAACAAAGTGGAAGTACCAAATAAAAGCCAGTACTATCGCAGAAAAAAGAAAACTATATTGAAACCACATGCGAAGGGCTGAAAGTGAGCTGGTACAACACACAGTACAACAGCAAAGTGTTAAATAGTCAACACTCAGTTTGTGCTATGGAGAGGAGGAAAAGATGTACAAAACTAACAGACACATTAATTCTGAATAGTCTCACTTATTTGAAAGTATGGAAATTTTCAGACAGCTCTCATGATATTTGGCATTAGTCAGAATCCTACTAAAATTCTATTTCTATTTTTTGAGTGTCTGCAATAATTACAAAGACATTTCAGAAGACATGTATATAGATAATGAAAGACTGGAAAAGACATCTAAAGAAGAGAAAGCTAAATTAATCCATTTCATCTAAACATGAACAGTATTTCTAAACACGTTCAGGAAAAAGCCCATTGCTGAAAATCCTGAAATAATGCCAGAATTATTTGCAGGTAAGATTTAGCAACTCTGACATTTGGAAGTGAGCACTCCAGACTCTAAGTTCCAAATCAGGTTTAAGCTGTCTTATTACCTGATGTGCATACAAGCTCAGGGCCTGATAAGGACACTGATCCTGACCCATATTAAGACAAAGGTTGCATCTCAAATTTCAAGAACTTGGCAGAACCACGCAAGGATCCATCTAGGACAGGTGGACTTCAGAATTCAGCTCCGGATTCTCTACCACTCAGATTCCCACGGTCATAGGGCTGCCACTGATGGTAATCTGCTGCTCCACTAGCATCAAAAATCTCATGCCTAATGTCCCATCATTCTGTCAGATCATCTTCAGGACAAGAATGTAATGTCTGTGTGCTACTACCCAAAGCTGAATAGATTGTGGACATTGATTTGCTTTGCTCTTTAAGTGTAAAACCCCAAACTTCACCATAGCCTGGAAGACTTCACATGACCTGGAACCTGCATTCCCCCACTCGCCACCTCTCTCCACCCCACTACAATATACATGACATGAAGTGAGAGAGCTTGTCTTCACTGTTCTATTGCAGTGCCTTAGTTTTGTTATCTGGCATACAGAAGGCACTCAAAATACATTTGCTAAATAGTGAGCAAATAAATATGGGAGAATTTACAATACAGTCATGTATCTCTTAATGAATTGATAAATTCTGAGAGATGTTCACTCATGAATATCACATAGTGAACTTAGATAAACTAAGATAGCCTAAACTAAGATTATACCACATCACTAAGTGGTATAAACTTATAGGGCCACCTTCATATATATGATGCACAATTAACTAAAAGTTCATCATGTAGTTTATGGCTCCATTTATTAAGTAGATTATTAGAATTCTAAAGCTTTAAAATTTCTCTGGTCAACTTCATTATCTATGACATTGATAAATATATTACTCACAGAACAAAGCATGGGTCTGGTCTAAAATAGTTACATAAAAATGGGAAAATTGATGTCTTTTTAAAGTAAATGTGTAGTCACATTTCTTTTCAAAGCATCATTTGTAAAAATCTTAATAATCTAAAATACTTCCTTGAGGCCTATTTATTTCAATATTTATGTATAAATTTTAATGCAACTAAATAACCTGAGCAATCCTTTAGAGTTAATTTTCATTTCAGATTTGGCAACATATATTTAGCTATTTTTACTATGTTGAATTAATATGAAAGTCATAGAAATTATTTATTGCGAGACTTCAAATCCATATCTATTTGTGGCCTGGGACCCTGCTGAACTAAACTTAAAATATTCTGTATAAAATATGTTCTAAGTGTAATTTTTTGTCTATATTGGGACATGTTTAGGAGTGAAAGAGAAGCACTGTCAACTATTAGGCTGGGAAAAATGAAAGTAAATCAGGACTTCCTTGTTGGTTCACAGTGAGAGGCAGACTTGAATTACGGGAACAGAATTTCAAATAAACAGCAAATTAAAATCTTCCCATGCACATAGAAATTCCAAATAGTCTCATTTCTTTATGAAGTAATCTATGAAGGACTAGTAGGAATACAGAAAGGCAATTTTAATCACTGTTTAAAAACTATGCATGCAGTACCATTCAATCAAACAGTTAACTTTCTAAAGATTTAGCTAATCAGCAAAGTTCCAGTTGAGTTTCAAGAAAACAAGTATCTTAAATAAAGCTAACAGTAGTACAGCTCATCTGAACATAACCTGCATTAATACGGTATCAAAGGAAATGCAAAAGGATTTCAAAAACTTCACAGAAATTAAGATAGCTTTATTTTGGTTCAAGAAATAAAATTCATGCAATTTTTTCAAAATACTCATTTTCCATTAACTTTTTGGAAACACCTTGTAGAAGAGCAGTTTCTTGTCATGTGGCTACAAACTGTTTAAGTTCAGTTTTTTAAATTACTTTGCTTAACACAAATACACAAAATAAAGTTGTGAAGAAGTTGAAATCTCCCTGTAGGCTCCTCCTATGAACTTTCAAGGGTTCCTCTTGATTTCTGCCAATTTAGTCAAAATTTGGTTTAGTTGTTTTCTCCAGTCTTCCCCCACTTCTAATCCACTAACTGGGCTGCCCCAGATATCTCACTGTGAACAATTACTTTTTATTCCAGGTTATCAAAGTCAGCCTGGCCATTAACTCCTGTTTGGAGCCTCCTTGCTTCTCACAAAAGCAGATACTCTTTTCTACCTTAACATCTATACCATGTTCCCTGGATGTCCCAGAGGAAGTTGCCCAAGGCAATACCTTCCAACTCCAAGAACTGAAGATGAATATTATTATTTTTCTATGGAATTCTGGCACAGAGGAAAAATAAATCAAAAAGTTCCATCTGACTGGTTCTTCCTGACGCCCAAAACCTATTTCCTAACCCAGTCTCAAGATTCCAAATTTGTGAACCCTCTCATTTCAAATACCCAGTTGTATTCAAAATCTTATTTCATGATGATCCCAACGTGCTAAGTCTGTACTTTGCCTACTGACTTTTGAGCACTTTGACTGACGTTTTTCTTATTAGATATTCATGGGCTAGGAAGTCTTGGGGTCATTATTATTATCTCCATTTTATATATGAGGAAGTTGCTTTCTTGGAGCCCTGCTTTCTACCTCTAGCTACCAGTAAACTAACCCTGATGATGCACTCTATTCATCTTGGGAAAAAATATTTGCATGCTAATAAGTCTTCTCAAACCTATGTAAGGACATTTGTAAATGTTTTTATTTAATTTCCACTGTGGGCTTCATGAAGAATACTTGGAGATAATTACAAATTAAATAATTTACATTAATAACTGTGTATCAGGTGCTACAACAAAAATTTTACATGGATTATCTTTGTAATTCTATAAAATACAAGGGAACTTCAAAAACTTCTTGGAAATATGATATTAAAAGATAAGTTTATTTTGGTTTAAAAATTTTTGAAGTATGTGCATTTTTTCATAATATGCATTTTCAAGACCCCTTTTATACTATTTTTGCATCATTAAACTTCTTAAATTTAATATGAGGCATTGCAGAAGTTGAACCTCACACTCTGACTTCAGAGCCCACACTCTAAGTAGACATTTTATCATCCCTTAAACATAATATGTGGGCAACTTGTCTCTGTTAATTTGATAATACAAACAAAAAATATCATATAGAATTTTGTAGTTTCCAAGCAATTGTCTATGCCCCAACATAAGCACCAGATTGGGAGCCAGTTGGATCTGTAACACAACCCTGACAGTATCACTTACAAACTGCAACATTTAACCCATTACCTTGCATTCCCATTATAAAAATGAGAAAACATTACGCACTTTACAGAATATTCAGAGGATTGGGAATAACATAGCTATATGTTCATATTATCTATAATCATAAATAGTATAAAAATATATTGTTTTTTACTGACTACTCTGTGAGTTCAGAATTATTCATATTCCTGTTTCACAGCTGAAGAAACTGAGCATCGGAAACATTAGATGATCAAATCACAAACTTGTATGAGCTGGAACAAGCTTCAAAGCCAGGTCTGCTGGTGGTGAGAACAGTATTCGTTATTGTACCTCTATGTATGCACCTAAATCATGACCAGGGCTTGTTACTCTCTTATTCTGTTGTCACCACACACTAGGAACTGAAATGAAACAAAAGCTTTTTCTAACAATTCGCTGGGTTTTGTTTCTTGACTTGCTTAAAAAATGATAGGTAGGTATTTAAAACCTAGTCACTGAACTTATTTTGATCCTGTTCACACCTCATTATCGCTGAAAACTATTATTTGTCAGTTATTTAATTTCTTTCTATTGAGATTTGGATGGACAATAGCTCTCGTCTTAAAGTGGACATGTATCACTCAAATACATTTGAATCACTAGAATATAAACCCCAAGAAGGAAGGTGTTTCTTTGTTCATGGGTGTATCCCACGCTCCTACAAACAGTAGATAATTCAGAGGTATCCCAAGCTCTTGACACAAAGTAAATGTTCAATGAATATTTCTCATGTGAGTAAGTGTAGCTTGGCAATTTTATACTTGCTCATCGGTTTCAAAATAATATAAAAAAAGTTTTTCCGTTCAATCTTCACTTAAAATAACTAAAGCAGGCAAATGAAAAAATGAAGTTTTCCCAAACCTTTGGAAAAGTCCTGAGTACTAAGAGATCGATCAGTGAAGGAAAAAGACCAGAGACAGCACCCACACATTTCTACTGTCCCACTTACTTACCTTGTAGGATTATGAAATCATCAGATTGAATGTCATTGTAGTTCCCACACAGGCCACATGGTTTCCCCTTATGCTCCCCAGACAACTTGAGGTAAATTCCAGATATCCCATCCCAAGCCAATGAAAAGCCAAAGGTTGTTTTCACTAAAATGTAGTCAGCTAGTTTCTCAATGACAACTTGTCCAAATGTCTGAGGCAATGTTAAACTTAAAAAAAAAAGAACAAAGGTAATTGACAAATTATGATGAAGGATCAATTAAACATGATTTTATTCTGGAAGTGGATGAGACAATTAAAAGAGAATTATTATTTGAAATTATAGAATAACCTATGCAGTGAGATGGACAGAGAGAATGTTCACTTAATATTTTCTCTATAGGAAATCTTGAGAACCTCAATAATGAAACCAAAATACAATAAAAATGATAGCTTCCCCTTGCTGATTTTAAACATATAGTTGGATGCTTTTTGGTCAACAAAAACACATATTTGCTAAGTGTCAATAATTTTGAAAAATCCATAACTTATTTAGAAAACTGAGGGCTTACATATATAGATTTTATCTCTAGAAAATTAAAGATAATGTAAAAATGCTGCTCCACAATTCTGAGATAAGGGCAAAACAATGATCAAAATGTGCAAATGTGTTGCACATGTTCTGATTTTGCTTAATATTATTTTCAATACCATTATAATGAAATAGTTTCTATCCCCAATATGTCACTTTGTCGTTACTCATTGTTTTCTAAAAGGAAGAAATGTCTAGAGATGATTAATTATGGCTTATATTTTTAATGTTACAAAGTGCATTAAAAGGGATACAATACATTTCATCATACAGTATTGCAATGAAGTAACAGCTGTAAATTCTTTTTTTTTAAGATTTATTTATTTATTTGAAATGTAGAGTAGGCAGAGAGAGAGACAGAGAGCCTTTCCATCCACTGGTTCGCTCCCCAAATGGCCACAACGACCGGAGCTGAGCCGATCTGAAGCAGGAGCCAGGAGCTTCTTCTGGGTCTGCCATGCAGGTGCAGGGCCCAAGGATTTGGGCCATCCTCCACTGCTTTCCCAGGCCACAGCAGAGAGCTGAATCAGAAGTGGAGCAGCCAGGACTCAAATTGGCACCCAGAAGGGATGCCGGCAATGCATGGGGCGGCTTTACCCATTAAGCCATAGCGCTGGCCCCTACAGGCATAACTTCTAAATGGAACACAATGTGGTCCATTTCAACAATGGTCACTTATAATACTGAAGTTCGTGATTCAATGCCTGCTTTCTAATTTTCACAAGCATGCACACATACAAAGGAAGTAGAAGACAAAAGGGAGCAAAGAAACCTAAGCAGTTGGACACTTTAAAACACACTGAGTCAGGGGCTGGCACTGTGGTGTAGCAGGTAAAGCCGCCGCCTGTAGTGCCGGCAGCCCATATGGGCACGGGTTCAAGTCCCAGCTGTTCTACTTCTGATCCAGCTCTCTGCTGGGGCCTGGGAAAGCAGTGAAAAATGGCCGTAGGCCTTGGACCACTGCACCCACATGGGAGACCCAGAAGAAGCTCCTGCTTCAGATCGGCACAGCTCCAGTCGTTGCAGCCAGGTGGAGAGTGAACCAGCAGATGGAAGACTTCTCTGACCTCTCCTTCTCTCTGTGTAGCTCTGACTTTCAAATAAATAAATAAATCTTTAAAAAAAGCACAGTGAGGCCGGTGCCGCGGCTCAGTAGGCTAATCCTCCGCCTGCGGCACCAGCACTCCGGGTTCTATTCCTGGTCGGGGCGCCGGTTCTGTCCCAGTTGCTCCTCTTCCAGCCCAGCTCTCTGCTGTGGCCCGGGAAGGCAGTGGAGGATGGCCCAGGTCCTTGAGCCCTGCACCCCATGGGAGACCAGGAGAAGCACCTGGTTCCTGGCTTTGGATCCGCGCAGTGCGCCAGCCGCAACATGCCAACCATAGCGGACACTTGGGAGGTGAACCAATGGAAAAAAGAAGACCTTTCTCTCTGTTTCTCTCTCTGTCACTGTCTAACTCTGCCTTTCAAAAAAATTTTAAAAAAGGCACAGTGAGTCAGAGAAAATATTTTTGAAAGAACATCGTTCCCCTTCTTCCACCCTTCAGTGTTGCAGAAAAAATCAGATGCCAGTAACTAAAGAAATGGGGAACAAATGCATTTCTATTAAGGTATCACTGGCAAACAAAGATTAAAAGCCATGATGTGAACAAGACAGGTGGTCAGAAGGTATAGTCATATATTTCTATCAAAAATTAGTGAGTTCCTTTTCAGAAACAGCATGACTATAGAGAAGGAAAATCATAAAACTAAACTTATTGGCTAGCAAAGGGATAACCCTCAAAGAAACAATTAAAAATATCTGTAATCATTTCCACAAAATGTTTTACATAAAAAAATTTATGGAAAATTAGTTATAAAAATGAGAAATTAACCACAATTTTGAGCTAGAGAATAGACTCTAGCTAACTAGTACCACAATATATTATCAAAAATTACAAATATGAAAATGGAGAATTCATAGTAAAAGTTTGTGTGGAATGGCATGAAGAAATATACTTGTTTTGCATTTCCAAACTTGTAAAAGCTATAGTTGAAAAAGTGGATCATGCTTTACAACTATATTTCATATAATAGGATGCTAATTGAATGGAAGTATAATCATTGTTATAGGTGAGGTTTTATTAGTTATTTGTCTCTTGGTCATTTGTTTCCTCCATGTTTCAAGTAAATACACTTTTTAAAAAAAGATGGGTAACTCTGATTATCTTGAACCTTATAATAAAGGATACCAGAGAAGATGAAAACTAGATAATCTCCAATAAATCAAAGATAACCTAGACAGGAAACCTAGACAGGAAATATTAAAATGTAAAAATAAATGAACAGATTAATGCTGAAAAATAGTCAGAGGTCTGTTTGTACCAAACTCCTTATTTCACAGTTGAAAGAACTGAAATTCAGATAGGTAAGGGTTCATGTGCTTACCACACACATTTGATTTTATTTTGGTGAATATTTCTCTAGTACTAGCTGAGTTAGGCTCTAGTCCAGGAGCAGTATTACTAAAAGTAGCATTGCTGAATAGTAAGAAAGTCAGTTTTTCTATCATACAAACAGAAATTCTCATAGAAATGTTATCTCTGAATTAAAATTAAATATCATGCCCTCAACAATGGGTTAGGATTTTTGAAAATCTATCTTTGTTTTACAAAGCTTAAGAATTTTTAAAAGTCCCCATTGTATTAACCAAAAATCTGTGTGAACAATATAAAATTATTATACAAATTTGGTGCTAGGAAATATACATGTAAATGCATTATATTTCCCTTAAAATGCTTGAGCTTTCTTTTGTAAGAAAATGAGAAATACAGAACTCAACTATTAAGAAAAGAAGCCTGTGGGGAGCAACTCGGACTAGACTAAGTTACTGGAATTAAGACTTGTTCTATGCATCTGCTCTCCCACAATGTGGCGCTGGGAGAGAAGAAAACAGCTTCTACACAGCTGCCTCCAGTTCAGCCAATAAACTGTAGGACTTGCTCCTGATTGGAGGAGAGCAGCGTACTCGGCGTGTGGGTAGCAGCGTTGGGATTGGCGGAGGAGGACTATAAAGGAGGAGAGAGACGGCATGCACCAGGAACATCTAAGGGGAACATCTAAGGGGAACACCTGTGCAGCCCCCGAGAGAGCCGGCCGGCGGTGTGCCGCTCCCCCGCGGAAGTGGGGAATGTGGCCAGGGGGAACTGCCCTTCCACGGAGGTGGAAGGGATAGTAGCCAACCCGGGAAGAACCAGCAGCAAACCCGGGGAGGGCCGAGCAGACGAAAGAACAGCGCAGGGTCCTGTGTCGTTCCTCCACGAAGAGGGGGAGCGACAGAAGCCCAAGAGGGGCTGCTCGGGGCTGCCAGATTGTGACAAAGCTCCTCTAGTGCTGTGTCCTACACACTTTCTGATACCGCCTGCTACCTCTGGTGGAACACAAACTGAGAAAAATAATCACAGGTCAGTAAGGTCATTGCACTGGAAATAACCCCCATGATTCAAACACATCTGATATTGAGTTCTGAATGATGGATAGAATTCTTCAATCCCACGTTTTACTTCCTCTGGCATAATTCAACCAGTAAATATTTAAAATTGAGTGTTTCTATAATAATTTATATTTTAATGATGAGTATTACACAATATTTCTACTTTAAAATGTATAAAACATTCTGCCAATTATATAAACATCCTCTTCCCTAAAACTCTGAGGTCATAGACTTGGCAGACAGGAAGCTGACACGGCTCCTCTATGATGCAGTAAAAGCCAATCATTGTCAAAACTTCAATGGAAAATCTCAAGCGACACCCAACCCTTATTCATACAGACTTGGAAAGGACTTCTAGAATCCTTTCCAAAGTATATAATATAATTTTAAATGTGTCGTGGAAGAAAAAAATCTTTTCTTCCCTAACCCCTACAATTCTAGTATGAGATACTTAGAAATTCTTTTAGTCTGTGATGTTCCATTTTTTATTGTACCATTTATTATCTCTTACCTGATTCCATCTTTTTTTATTTCGTGACCATAAATTCGTATTTCCTCTTGGTTTGAAAAGAACAAGCTGATTGACCGATAGCAAGAATACACTGAACCAAGGCATTTAGGGCTATTATGAACCTTAAAGGGAGAAAAAGGAAAAGAACACTTAGGAACAACCACAGATAGAGTACATTTGAGTTACTAAGTCTACAACACATACTAAAGTTTTATAGCATCATTAGTGTGTCACACTTTACAACATTATAACTATATTTAGGATTTGGGGTACAAAAACAGATATTTACCTCAAAAATTGGACAACAGAATTAACTTGTTAAAATTTAGCTCAGCAAATTTTTAAAATGATCTGAATCTTTTTACATGTTGGGTGTTAATATTGCAAAGCAGGAGGCATCACAATTCTTCAGGGCAGAAATAATCAAAACAGCCTGGGACTGGCACAAAAATAGACATGTAGACCAATGGAACAAAATAGAAACCCCCAAAACTGACCCACACAGCTATAACCAACTACCTTTGACAAATAGTCAAAGGAGAAAGGTCCTTGGAGAAAGGACCATGTCTTCAACAAATGGTGCTACACACACAGAAGTATGAAACAAGAAACTTACCTTACACATTATACAAAAAAGTCAACTCGCAATAGACTCATTATCTAAATCTATGATCTGACACCATAAAATCACCAGAGGAAGACATTGGGAAAACTCTGCAAGACATTGGCATAGGCAAAGCCTTCTTGTAAAAGACCCCAGAAGCACAGGCAATCAAAGCAAAAATAGACAAACGGGATTATATCAAGGTAAGAAGCTTCTGCACTGCAAAGAAAACACTCAAAAATGAAGAGACAACTGACAGGAGAAAATATTTGTAAGCATACTACTGATAAAGGATTAATATCCAGGATCTATAAAGTGCTCAAGAAACTCAACAACAACAACAACAACAAATCCAGTTACAAAAAGGGCAAAGGACTTGAACAGGCATTTTTCAAGAAAGGAAATTAAAATAGCCAACAGTTACATGAAAAATGGCTCAGGATCACTAGTCATCAGGGAAATGCAAATCAAAACCACAATGAGGTATCACCTTACCCCAGTTAGGTTATCATATAAAAGTGAAAAAACAATAAATGCTGTTAAGGATGTGGGGAAAAAGATACCCTAATACACTGTTGGTAAGAATGTTAACAAGTACAACCATTATGGAAAACAGTTTGGAGAATCCTCAGAGATCAGAAAATATATCTACTATATGACCCAGCCATTCTATTCCTTGTAATTTCCAAAATAAAATGAAATCAACATATGAAAGAGTTATCTGTAACCCCCAAGTTTATTGAAGCTCAATTCACAATAACTAAGACATGGATCAACCCAGATGCCAATCAACTGATGACTGGATAAATACAATGTGGTATATACACACTATAGAATACTATTCAGCCATATAAAAGAATGAAATCCTGTCTTTTGCAACAAAATGAATACAACTGGAAACCATTATGTTTAATGAAATAAGTCGGTCCCAAAAAGACAAATATGTTTCCTCTTATATGTAGCATTTGATATAGAATAAAAAAGTATAGGAATGTAACAGACATTTTGTGATCTGATTGCTGTTTTTAGCCCTTGTTTATACTCCTGTGCAACTGTGGTCTTTATACTTTTTACTTGTATAGTGTGGTTTGTGGTGCATTAAGCCTGTGAGTATAGAGTGGACTGAAATGTTTTTGCAAAAATTAAAGAAAAAAAGGAAGGAAGGAAGCTAGGAAGGGAGGAAGGAAGGAAGAAAAGAAGGAAGAAGGGAGATTGAGGGAGGAAGGGACTGTGGGAGGAAGTATGGTTATCTTCTCAGAATTGTACCTACAAAATACATGAAACCTATTCTCTTTATACTAATAAAAACTTTTAGAAAGAAAAAAATGTTTTAAGAAAGCTCTTCATTAAGTTGAGAAAAAAGCTACATAGCAAGTATTGGAAAAAAACAGCTCTGATGAGAAAACTATAGAGTTCTATAAAGAAACAGATTTATAATTTTTAATGTCCTTATCTTTTACCTGTTAGACATCCATGAAATAAGAGCTTCAAATGGAGTACAAAACAAAGCAATAGCTTAAGGTTGGAAAGCGACCATGACCTCTCTAAAAACACAAGTGACTTTTAATTTATTTTTCCTTGAATGGTTTAAGAAAAAGAATGTTTCTCAAAGATTTGCTGAGAGGTGAGATTCTGGCAATGTCAAGAGTAATAGACATCTAAGAGAAGAGCATTCTAGGCAAAGAGAACAGCAAGAACGGAAGCCTGAGATAAGAATACTCCTGGGATCAGTGCTGAGGAACAGCAAGTTAAGCTGCCATTTGTAACACCAGCATCCCACGTCAAAGCACCGGTTCCACCCCCAGCTGTTCTATTTCTGATCCAGATCCCTGTTAATAAACCTTGGGAAAGCAACAGAAGATGGCCCAAATACTGGGATCCCTGCTATCCATATGGGAAATCAGGATGGAGTTCCAGACTCCTGGCTTTGACCTTGCCCCAGTCTTTGTGGCCATCTGGGGACTAAACAGGTGGAAGATCATTTCTCTCTCTCTCTCTCTCTCACTCTCACTCTCTTTCTCATCCTATCTTTCAAATAAGTTGATATATTTTTTAAAAAGAATATTAAAAAAAGGCTCTCAATATTCTGGAATTCAGGTTTCTGATCCCAGACAGTGTGATAGAGTATTCTCTTTTATAGAAATAAAATGGAAAAAGGATACACAGATCCTAATATTTATGAACTTTTCTAATGAAACAAGAGGATCGCTGCTCAATCTCACACTAGCCAAACAAGCACTCATCCATATTTCTGAGTTTCCAATTTAGCGTTTAGAATCTTATTTTCAAAGATAAACAAATGTTCTGGAACATTTGAATAAAGTCTAAAATAAACAAAGAAATGAAATTGAATAAATCAAAAACAATTCAGAAAAATAAACTGTTAAATATCTATAGTTAATATCCTTAGCAAGATTGAATATATATGTCATCCATGAAACCAGAATAAAAGACATTAAAAATGAAGTTAAAATAATAACAATAAATAATTGCATGTTGAAAACATGATACAATAAATGTGTTGTTAAAGTAAGAAAGGTTAGATGACAAACATGTAAGAGTTGGAAAGGAATATCCCAAAATGTTGAACAACAAGAAAGGTGGAAAATAGACAAGGATCAATGAGAAAATTAAGGGAAAATTCAGTTCAGGACCTCTAACATATAAATAGAGAAATTTCTGAAAGAGAGAAAAGAAAGAAATATTATTCCAAAACCGAAGGACACTGAAAGCCTATTCAGTGTCCAGTATGAATAATGGGATATATATATATATATAATGTAATATATATATAAACTATAAAATATTATATACATGTATATATACACATATATACAAATATATGTAAATGTGTATATATATAAAGTATCATGAAATCTCAGAACTTTGGTGATAAAGAGAAGATGTAATAACTTCTGGGCAGAGAAGGAAGGTTATATGCAAAATGATTAGAAATCTGAGTGAACTGAACTTCAAAATTCTAAAAGTGCTTTCCAAGTTATAATCGAAGTTTCACAACACTTTCTTCCTGAAAGAAACCTGAAAATAATACATGGCCACTTAAATGAGTTAATAAAGGGAGAAATCACCACTACAAAAAAAAAAAAAAATACTGGCCATATATGTAGAGCATCCAAGAGGCCTTTTAGAGCCTATCTCTCAAGTATAAATAAGGTTGAATGATCACTACTCATTTGCTGGGATACATGAAACAGGAAAACCAATCTAGAGAAGAGAAGGAAATTCACCAGGAGACTGGTGAGAAGAGTTTCCAAGGGCTAGTAGTACAGTAGGCCTGGAAAGTAACCCCCTTGTTTGGAGCAGAAAATAAAAAACAGAGGGAGGGAAGTCTCCAAGAGGGAAAAGAGAAACTGACAGTCTAATGCAACAGACCATATGAAGAAGAGTTTTACAGAGAGAGTTTGGAAGAAAAAAAGCAATGACTGGAGTTAAGAAAATGCAGCAAACAAAAAATGGGGAAACTGTTTCCCCTAGGAAATGATATAGCAAAAAATAAATAAAAGTCATCATAATCTATTGGGCTCAGCTCTAAACAATAATAACATAGAGACCGAAATGTAAAAAATACATCTTAATTTAACCAAATATTGTGATATAACTCTGTTGAGGGTGTATGTGTGTGTTAAGTGCAGGAATAATGATAAAACTAAAATACTTCCTCATTCTCTATACTATAAAGTGGAAAAACAGAGCCTAACTTTGAAAAACAAATAAATAGTGGCCTATTTTTGACATATTAGATGAAATCCATAAGAAATCACTTGAAAAGTTGAAGTAATTGCCTTTAGGGAGTGAGACTTTGGCTGGAGTGGAGAGTGACAGAAGGTAGGAACTATTATTTTACTACATTTGTCTTGATGAAATCTTTTTTTTAACTTTTATTTAATAAATATAAATTTCCAAAGTACAGCTTTTGGATTACAGTGGCTTTCGCCCCCCATAATTTCCCTCCCACCTGCAACCCTCCCATCTCCTGCTCCCTCTCCCATGATGAAATCTTTTAAACTATAAACATACATCATAAATAAATAAAACTGAATTTTAAGTAGAAAAATAATCAAGAGTATAAAACATACACACCTAAAGATGTTTATCAATATATCTTCTAATATATTGATTTTTTATTCTAAATTTCCAAAATAGGATATAGTTAATAATTTGAATATTTCCTAAATTGAAATAAATATAGCCAATAAAATCTGTGTCTATTGAGATTATTTGATATGGAAAGTTTTTGATATAATAATAAGTGATAATGTAGGACAGAAAATTATAGACAGTATGATTTCAGTTTTATAAATATGCATAAAACTCAGAGAAAAAAGTTTAGAAGGGAATATATGAAGTTGTCAGCAGAGGTTAATTCTTTTTTAAACATATTAATTTACTTGTAAGGCAGAGAGAGAACTCTAATCCATTCCTCAAATGTGAAGAACTCAGTCTTTACTGGAGCCCTCATTGCTGCCTCCCCAGCATCTGCATTATCAGCAAGCAGCTGGAGTTAGAAACCAGAGCCAGAGATCAAACACAAGCATTCCAGCACGGTATATGAGCATCGTAACTACTGGGTCAACAACTGCCCCTAATGGGAACTCTGGACTACTAATCATTTTTTACATTCTTCTAAAGATTTACGTATTTAATTGAAAAGCAGAGTTACAGACAGTAAGGGAAAGAGAGAAAGACAGAGAGAGAGAGAGGGAGAGGGAGAGAGAGAAAGAGATCTTCCATCTGCTGGTTCACTCTCCAGATGTCCACAACAGTCTGGCTAGCCAAAGCCAGGGGCCTGGAACTTCGTCCAGTCTGGGGACAGGGGCCCAAGCACGAGCTGGGGACAGGGGCTTTTCCACTGCTTTTCCAGGCACGTTAGCAGGGAGCTGGATCAGAAGCAAAGCAACACTCATATGGGAAGCTGGCATTGCAGGTGATAGAGTAACCCATTGAATCACCATGCCATAGCCATCCACTAATAATTCTAATATTATTTTTTAGACTTCTGTGAATTTCCTACAAAAGAAGTGAACTTCTTGTATAAACAGGACAAACATAACAATTTTAATAAATGGATTTAATTGTTTAAAATAAAATTCCACCAACTGAAAACAAGCCAAGAAGAAACAATACGTGCTAACTCTAAAGGCACAGTTCAACATTGTGTGTTATCATCAAAAAGATCCATTATCTAGTGGACATCTTAGTTCTTGAAAGTCTGAGACTCTGGACAGGAACATTTCAGTGAGAGTCAAAAGGTGTCTGAGTGACCAATCTAACGAGTGAGTGGGGGGTAGGGAGAGAGAGGGAACTGAGAAGAGCAGTCTGGAGCTAAGTCCTATTGACTTTCCTATCTAGAGAAACCTCTAGGTGTGCACCCTTAATGCCCCACAAGATCACTCAATAAATCTCTCTTTCTGGGTACATGCAGATCTCTGAAAATGGTTTCAGGGCCTTCTTTTAATATTTACATAATCTAAAATAGGAAGAGAATCTAGATAATGCCAACATAGCAAAAATGGAAACATTTTTGCTGTGGAGAGTCTTAGTTTTTCAATGGCACAACACAGCAGTTCCCTGGTCACCCTTAGAGTTATCTAGAAAATCAGGGGAGGTTGGTGAGTAAGGAAACAGGGTCTTGACTTCCTTGGCAAGAGCCTCTCTAAAGCTTGAAATGTCTCCTAAGAATTTGAATCAAGTATTCTGCAACTGAGAACCAAGTCCTTGGATTCAAACAAAATTGATCTATCCAGCAATTAGCAACCTATCTCCACATGCTGTAGCTTGTGCTTGTGTAATCTGTGTACTGTATTTCATAAATGTCAGCCTCCAGTTTATACAGAGGGTACAATTTTTAAAAATTAAACTAGGTGGGCATCTCACTGGAACCATCAAAAAGAAAATGAGTAATACAGTTGATGTATGATCCTATCCCCTCTTCTGAATGATCAAATAAAATCTGAAGAACAGGCATATTGACTGGGGTTCATAATATGGTATCCAAAAATTCTTTAAAAACAAAACAAAAAAAGGGGGGCCGGCCCCATGGTGCAATGGGTTAGTCCTCCACCTCTGGCACCAGCATCCCATATGGGCGCCAGTTCTAGTCCTGGCTGCTCCTCTCCTAATCCAGCTCTCTGCTATGGCCTGGGAAAGCAATAGAAGATGGCCCAAGTGCTTGGTCCGCTGCACCTGCATGGGAGACCAGCAAGAAGCACCTGGCTCCTGCCTTCGGATCAGCGCAGCTCCGGCCATTGTGGCCATCTGGGGAGTGAACCAACGGAAGGAAGACCTTTCTCTCTGTTTCTCCCTCTCACTGTCTGTAACTCTACCTCTCAAATAAATAAATAAATCTTTAAAAAATAATATGGTATCCAGGACAGAGACAATTCTGTATTGTCTTCAAATTCCTCCCACATGGATCCAAACTATTTCATTTCTCCCAGCCCTAGACCTCAATCTCAATAGAGTTATACTCAATATACTCAAAATCTGGTCTACCCCCCTTTTCATTTATTTTATAGGTAGAGTTATAGACAGTGAGAGAGACAGAGAGAAAGGTTTTCATTCTGTTGGTTCACTCCCCAAATGGCCACTCCAGCCGGCGCTGCGCCAATCCAAAGTCAGGAGCCAGGTGCTTCCTCCTGGTCCCCATGTGGGTGCAGGGCCCAAGGAATTGGGCCATCCTCCACTGCCCTCCCGGGCCACAGCAGAGAGCTGGGCTGGAAGAGGAGCAACCAGGACTAAAACCGGCACCCATATGGGATGCCGGCGCCACAGGCAGAGGATTAACCAAGTGAGCCATGGCGCCGGCCCCTGGTCTACCCCTTTAAGAATGAAGAGCTCTCTTTCCTCAGACAGAACCCTAAGTATTGTTCTATTATTTTTATGTATTTCCCATCATTTGTCCAGTACTTTTAAAATACATACTTTGGGGGCAGGCACTGTGGCATAGAGGGTTAAGCCTACACCTGCAGTGCCAGCATCCCATGTGGGCACCAGTTGTGTACAAGCTGTTCTGCTTCTGAACCTGCTTCCTGTTAATGCTCCGGGAAGAGCAGCAGAAGATGGCCCAGGTGCTTGGTCCCCTGCTGTCATGTGGGAGACCCAGCAGAAGCTACTGGCTGTAGGGGCCAGCCTGGCCCAGGGCCGGTCATTGTGACCATTTGGGGAGCAAACCAAGGGATAGAAGATTCTCTCTCTCTCTTTCTCTCTTGGCCCACCCAGTCACTCTGCCTTTCAAATAAATAAATAAACTTAATAAAATACACATTTTTGCAAAAATGATGGTTAATTACATCGTAGAATCACCTACCCAGACAGTATATTGAGGCTCCAAATTTCCACAGTCTTTTGCAAAAATATAAGAACAGTTTCCTGGAAAGTAGTAGTAGATGCCATCAAATGTTTCAAAATGGTACTGTCCCCAGGTTTTGCAAATCCCATCTCTGCCACTGCCCATGTTTGGGACTGAAAAGAAATAGGATAATGTTTAGTAGAATAAAATCATTTACATCTCTTCCTAGCATTGTTCCTAGCATGATTACTGATTCTAATTAGGATAAATATTTTCTTCCTTGATGGTCTGTATCATAGGAATAAATAAGTAACATAAAGTTACCAGTAGCTCTTAAAACTATCAGTCCACCTGGAGTGGGGTGGGGGCAGGGGTGGGAAGAGAGAGAATCTCCAACTTGTTTAGAAAAAAGGATTTGTGTTAGAAACTTCCTTTATTTTTCTTTCTGAAAGAAGATTCTAGGGAAGAAAAGGAAGAGTATGGAAAACAACAAGTAAAAGAAGTTGACGGTGCTAAAGCAGGTAAAGTGGCACAGAAGAGAAAGCAATGTCACCACTGAGTGTCTTATAAATCAGCATGGAAAGAGTAAGTTCCACAGATCTTTCAAAAAGTATCGCTATGGTGTCCAGACAGAAAAACAACAGCTGATTCTTAAAGGTCATGTTTTATATGAGACCTGGGCATGGAGAGCATCAGTCATTCAATGCATGCTGGAATTTAGGAATTCTTCACTTCAAACTGGCTGGATCTCATGTTCATCTTAAACCACGTCATCTCCTACTCTTGCCATGCCTACCTCCTTCCTTACCCTTCAGACCAGCTTGCACTCAATCTTTCATCTCCTCAGCCCACCCCCCATTGGAAGAATACAGATATCAGTGGTGTTTACTGAAAACTCGGCATCTATAAAATGCTTTGATACACTCTACACACAGCATAAATATTAAGGGACAATATTTTTGTCTTTTCTCTTGGTAATTTTTATCTAAATTTATTAGATAAATTTTGACCAATATTGGGCTTTTTCAGGGAAACACATAGTGATTCATTATTCAGGGAGTCTTTCCTGACAATACCCCTTATCTCTGTTGCATATTTTCATAGTATCTCATATTTATTTTATATTACATATCACAAGGTTAATTATCATGTTTCTGCCCCTTGCTCTAAACTCTGGGAGAGCAGTAATATTTCTGTTATTCACCATTCAACATTTCTATTCCCAGTGCCTGGCCTGGGATCTAGTAGATGGTCAATACATATTTATTAAACAAATGAATATGTATTGATTATTATTGATGTGGGATCATATATTAGACACTACGGATTAAAGGGATTTTGTTTTGTTTTGATTTTTAAAGATTGATTTATTTATTTGAAAGAGTTACTGAGAGAGAGAGGTCTTCTATCTGATGGTTCACTCCCCATGGCCAGAGCTACGCCAATCTGAAGCCAGGAGCCAGAAGCTTCTTCCAGGTCTCCCACAAGGGTGCAGGGGCCCAAGATCTTGGGCCATCTTCTACTGCTTTCCCAGGCCAGAGCAGAGAGCTAGATCGGAAGTGGAGCAGCCAGGTCTTGAACCAGTGCCCATATGGGATGCCGGTGCTTCAGGCCAGGGCATTAACCTGCTGTGCCACAGCACCAGCCCCTAAAAAGGGTTTTTAAAAAGTCTTCTGTTTGGGGCCAGTGCCATGGTACATTAGCTTAATCCTCCACCTGCGGTGCCGGCATCCCATATGGGTGCCGGGTTCTAGTCCTGGCTGCTCCTCTTCCAATCCAGCTCTTTGCTGTGGCCTGGGATGGCAGTGGAGGATGGCCTGAGTCCTTGGGCCCTTGCACTTGCATGGGAGACCAGGAGGAGTTTCCTGGCTCCTGGCTTCAGATTGGTGTAGCTCTGGCCGTGGCAGCCACTTGGAGAGTGAACCAATGGAAGGAAGACATTTCTCTCTGTCTCTCTCTCTCACACAATCTGTAAACTTTATCTGTCAAATAAATTTTAAAAAAAAGTCTTCTATTCTTGAAGAATTTTTCATACTACCACATTCTTATGTACGGAACATCCAATTAATTCAAAGTCAAAAAGAATATGTGGCTTCAAACAAAGAGTCTAATTTGTAAAACAAAAAAGAGAAATGAATGAAAATCTCATCTTAAGGGGCTGGTAATATATAAAATGGAAATATCACTTGAGGAAAATAGAGAGATCAGTGAGAAGAGAAAGCCGGACTATCTATTTTCTTTCTCATTGGTTCTTAATAGCATCAAATTACTGAAAATGAATCGTGGGCTATCTAGTCGAAATATAAAATGATTTTCCTAACTCCTAGTGCAGGAACACTACTATAGTAAATTCTCTTTGGTATTTCATAATTCTCATCTGAATATCCTTAAAACTTACCAATCTGGCACCTTGTCCCAAGAGCCTGAAATATTTGACAATCACATGTACCAGTCTTAGAACAGAAAGCTCCGTTAAGGCATTCATGAGGACAAGAACCTGAGAGGGAAAGAGTAAGTTATTTTCTGGCACGCATCAGTTCTCATAAACAAAGGATGTCAACATCTAGCTTGAACTAACTGTAACTGCTATTAACTTAAACAGAACCCTGGGCCTCTTGCGTTGATGAGCTAAGGAATTAAACCCATCAAGGCTCTATCTAGTTAATTTCATTATGTGTGCTGTGAAGCAAAAAAGACAGGCTTTCACATCTCAAACTACTCAGAGAGCAAAGGTTAGGCTCCTTCAAGCAACTGAAAGGTCAAGTTCCCATGTAAGGAATCTCCGTCCCAGATGACAAGAACCAGAAGCACACAGCTGCAGATGAGGCCCTGGGTGGAGTCTGTCACTAGCTGTCCCCTCCCCAGGAGCAAGCACTGTGTTAAAGAAGTGTGTCCATCATTAACTTCAGGGATCAGGCAAAGTATAAAACTCAGAAGAAAACTCTCACTTTTAAATAAAATGACTAAATATTTCGTTTGATGTTTACAAATTAATCCCCAGGCTTAATTACCAGTGACTCATCCTTTAGAACCCATGGTTAATTTTTCTGAGGCAGAAGCCAAAGTCACTTCTTGCTGTCATCAAAAATATTCTTTCATAGAAAAAAAATTATACCCATAGATTATGTTAAAAGGAAGAAGCAAGTAAATATGAAATCTAACTAACTCCTCCTGAGTTTTTAAAATGCAAATGAATCACTGAAAAATTTCCCTTTGTTAAGGAGAGGGGAAGAGGCAACTGGCAAAACTCAAGTAGGAAGAAAAGTAAGACAGGAGGAGACCTAGAGAACATCTGTGAGTCACCATAAAGCATTACTAAAGGAGCTGGGACTCTGGAAGATGTCAACTTCATGAAAGATACTTATTTAACTGCAGTAATTTATCTGCAGTTCTACCATAGGCAAGAATTAGAAATTCCTGTTATTCCTTTCCACTTTAAGATCCATCGGTTGAAAATGTCTTTTCACATTTAAAAACATACGAATCTCTAATCTTGTGAGAAAAAAGTAAGCTGTCTTAACCTGGACCATTATTATCGGTGAAAATGATGATGTTTTATAAACCTAAATGTAGTTTTTATCCTTAGGAAGCACATCTGTCTTTAAAGTTCATCTTAGATCATTGTCCGTATTTTTCCAGCGAATAGATAACTGAATATTTAGATAAACAATGTATCAGCTTCAAAAATGCATTTATAGTCCTGTATTTCTCTTGAAAACAAATATCAGACCAAAACTGGTGAGGATTATTAGCATTTTTAGCAGAACAATAATTATATCTATTTCCTAGTTACCACCCAAACTAAATTTTAAACTACCCTCAGCATCCTGGAATTGGGAAACCGATATGTGAAAATAGGAATGCCAAGGAATCAAGGAGCATCCTTGATTATGAGCTCTGTCTAAATGTTTAGCCATGCTTATTTCCAAAAATAGTCCAATTTTTCATAGGATGTGAACTTAAATGATTAGGCTTACTACCACTCTGGCTCAGTTCCCTCCATGCAGTATAAGGAAGCAATAAGAGTTGATTTCAAAAATTCCCATAAAGGGATCTTTTGAGAAAATAAATAACAAAACCATAGTACAAGCACTGACCTTTTATTTTGCTCTCACCCCAATGAATAGCATCATGGAAAAAATACCTTGGAGAACTTGCTTCAAACTTTGAAAGAAATAAAGAAGAGTTCAAGATGGTTAAATTATTTAATTCAAGTCAGTCAAACATGCAAATTTGAAAGCAGCTACAAACACAGAGATTTAAGATGCTGACTTTATATTCCCTTAGGTTATTATGTTGATGAGGCGGCGAGAGTCATCCAGGGTTGTGGGATGTGATGTCAAGCCTTGGTTTTGCCCCCTAAACGACTGTGACAGGTCATATACCTTTCTTTGCTCCTTGCCTTCCTTTCCTTCCTCCTTCTTCACCCTTCATCTCTCTCGTGGGTCTTGGAACCTCTAACTTCAAGCACTGGCTTCTCTCTGTCTCTGCCTGAGGGCAGCACCCAAGCAGGGCAGAACAGAGCAGGGGACTTAAGCCCTCCACCAGACAGGACTTGCTCTCCACCAATGAGAACCAGGAATTCGTGGATAAATGCTGCAACTTTCCCCGTCCCTTGTACAGGTGATTTTTGGACACAGTGTATCAACGTCTCAGAGGGTCCCTAAAAAGAGGAAGCCCCAGATGCTCAGAGCAGGAAGCGCCTCATTAACACACAATGCATTGGATTTTCTCCCTTCCTCATCTCACAGTCCTCAGTCCTTCTCAGAATAATGACCTGCTCCCGACTCTATGTCTCGGGCCTTTTTTTAGGAGAAAAAAATTTTGAAATGTAACGCAAATAACAGCAGCATATTCACATAAGTGATAGAAGAAGAGAGCCCAATCTTTCTCTTCACTGATTTCACCTCCACAGGTGAATGAGAAGCACAGGTAAATGCAATCTTTAGATGGAAATTAACTGAGGTCCACAGTACACCTTGGATAGACATCTGAGCTGACCCTTTCTTTGCTCACCTCTCTGCCAACGTCCTTGAGAATCCTTCCAATTACCTACCATCAGGCCCTATTTTTTCTGGAGCAGGAGAGTGAATCTGTAGGCAAGATCAGCCTTTAAACACATGTCATTCCCATCCAAACAGTGCACTGCGTGATTATGACCCCTCACCCTTCTTTAACATTGCTTCACTTAAAATTTGTTTGGAAATCAGAGAACCCTGATGCATCTTCTTCAGCTCCAGGAAACAGAGGTGCAGGTCTCCCAGAGAGGGAAATCAACGCAAGGCAAGTGTATTCTTCGCTTATTAAAAAAGGAAGGTATTAGCCTATCTCTGTGGGGGTAAATAATATAAATTCTGAAAACAAGAAAATAGACAGTAATATAACCTCACCCTTAGGGCACTTTTTGGGAAATATATATGTTCTTCAACCTCGTGGGTTCACCAGAATGGAATTTTCCTCAAAGGCAGATTTTCTACTGAGTTATATAGATATCCTTTAGTGGGTTTGCAAAGGGAAACATATACTTAAAATTTCTCAGAGAAAATGCATTTTAACAACTTCATATTACACATAAGTACTTAAGTACACAAGACACACTTTTTAAGAAAAAAATAGGGTCTCTGGGGGCTGGTGCTGTGGCGTAAAGGCTTTTAAAGCTGCTGCCTGCGGTGCCAACATCCCATAAGGGTGCCTGTTGGAGTTCCAGCTGCTCCACTTCCGATCCAGCTCTCTGCTATGGCCTAGGAAAGCAGTAGAAGGTGGCCCAAGTGCTTAGGCCCCTGCACCCATGTGGGAGACCTGGAAGAAGCTGTAGGCTCCTATCTTTGGATGGGCCCAGCTCTGGTCATTGCGGCCATTTGGGAAGTGAACCAGCAGATGGAATAACTCTCTCTCTCTCTCTCTCTCTCCTTCCTTCCCTCCCTCCCTCCCTCCCTTCCTTCCTTCCTCCCCCCCCCCCCACCTCTCTGTAACCCTGCCTTTCAAATAAATAAATAAATAAAACTTTTTAAAGAAAAGTAGTGTTCAATACCAGAGAAAATCTTCGCATTTTGGTACAAAAATGATCTACATTCTTAATAAGAATAAATTAGTCAGGGCAAGGGCAAGCATCTTGGTGTAACAAAGCTGTCTCCCGCGAAGCTGACATCCCATATGGCCACGGTTCAAGATTCCACTGCTCTACTTCCAATCCAGCTCCTCGCTCATGTACCTGAGAAAGCAGCGGAAAATGGCCAACTGCTTGGGTCCCTGCAGCTACGTGGGAGACCTGGAAGAAGTGTCTGGCTCCTGGTGTCAGGCTTTGGCCTGACCCAGCCCCGGCTGTTGTGGCCACTTGGGCAGTGAACCAATGAATAGAACACCTCTAACTCTGTGTCTCCTTCTCTTTCTGTAACTCTGCTTTTCAAATAAATAAAATAAATCTTTAAAAAAATCAATTAGTTCTGCCTTTTAAACTGTCATAACAGCATATCAAATCTGTCTTCCATGCATCTACTGATTCTTTTTAGTTGACACTACAAAATAAACATTCAGACATCCATCAGAAAGTACAAGTTAAAATTATTTGCAATTCAGCTTTGACAAAGTCTTCCTTGAAGACTTAAGTAGCTTGCTATATCAATATTCAAATCATATTACTTTGCCAAGAAATATATTTATTAAGTTAGGATTCTCTATTTTACCACTCATCTTTTATAGAGGAATTTTTTTTAAAAAATTCATCTGCGGTAGAGGCCTCCCCAAGCTCAGACAGAGAAAAAGAAACTTACCCTGGAAATGGCATGTGGTCATTATCTGCTTGCTTCTTAATGCTTCAACTGTAGTTACTCTCTGCTTATATGTAACCATTTCAGGTTCTGCTTGCCAGTACACAGCAATTGTGTTAACCCTTGCCAGTGGTACAGCTCAGTATGTGTGTGTAAAAAACATCATCAGGGGCCGGCGCCGCGGCTCACTAGGCTAATCCTCCGCCTTGCGGCGCTGGCACACCGGGTTCTAGTTCCGGTCGGGGCGCCGGATTCTGTCCCGGTTGCCCCTCTTCCAGGCCAGCTCTCTGCTGTGGCCCGGGAGTGCAGTGGAGGATGGCCCAAGTGCTTGGGCCCTGTACCCCATGGGAGACCAGAATAAGTACCTGGCTCCTGCCATCGGATCAGCGCGGTGTGCCAGCCGCAGCGCACCGGCCATGGCAGCCATTGGAGGGTGAACCAACGGGAAAGGTAGAACTTTCTCTCTGTCTCTCTCTCTCACTGTCCACTCTGCCTGTCAAAATAAATAAATAAATAAATAAATAAACAAAGCAAAAAAAAAAAAATCATCAGGGAGCCGCCACTGTGGCGCAGTGGGTTAAAGCCCTGGACTGAAGTGCTGGCATCCCATATGGTCACTGGTTTGAGACCTGGCTGCTTCACTTCCGATCCAGCTCTCTGCTGTGGCCTGGGAAAGCAGTACAAGATGGCCCAAGTCCTTGGGCCCCTGCACCTGTGTGGGAGACTGGGAAGAAGCTCTTGGCTCCTGGCTCCAGATCACTGCAGCTCTAGCTGTTGCGGCCAATTGGGGAGTGAACCATCGGATGGAAGACCTCTCTCTCTCTCTCTCTCTCTCTCTCTCTCTGCCTCTCCTCTCTGTGTAACTCTTTCAAGTAAATAAAATCTTTAAAAAAAATCATCAGTAACTATGCACAATATTGTATCAATTCCTGCAGCCACCATGTAACATTAGAATATCCAATCAAATGTATGCATGTAGCTATGTGAGGGAGACAAAGAAGCTAAAACCATATTTAGGGATATATTCCTCTTTGTTCCAGCCTCAGTCTTTTTAAATATGAATCCAACGAGTCTTATGCTGTCACAATAAACTACGACTGCTTTATGGCCTTGGTGTCTCCTCTCTGTTTATGAATCCTGCTACACATCCATTCCAGCTACAGTTTGAAGATATTGCAAGTATTCTATGCAATATCATTATATAAAGGGACTTAGACAAAAATGTCTCCTCACATTCAGTGCCACCCTTTCCCTTGGGAGAAAAATTATTTCTTACCGAGAGAAGACCGTAATTTAGATTTATCAGACAATGTAAAAGCTGTCAGGACACCAAGATATAGTTGATGTCCCTTTGCAATGTTTATCTCACATCATTTTCACATTTCTCTGCCCCTTTTGTATGCATTTGTACTATTGTTATCATTCTGATATTGTGCTTAATTTTTAAACCAATCCTGTTTTTAGGAAAGTAGATGGGATTAAATCTTCCATATGTGCTTCAGGCTTATCAAAACAGTGAAGAAAAGAATGTCACTTGGAACAAGCCAATATGAACTGAACATGAATTTGAGGGTCCCCAAAAGGCAGGAGAGAAGTTACTTTGCCTCTTCCTTCTCTTTCCTGTCTTGTTAGTGCTTTATTGCCCTCCACAAAGGTTTCATTGTTCAAATGACAGCCTGGTCCAAGGCAGGATGGATTATTTCTCAGCCTGCCTCTCCATCTGAGGCAGAACCTACCTGTGCTGCTAAAAGAGCTCTTTTCTGTTGATTTTCATTAAACCCGTTTCTGGAAGAAAACAAAAAGAACTTGTATAGTCAAAGGCCCCTAGGCAACCTGAACAAGCCTTTCCCAAGAGACAGCTGGTGTTTTCCTCTTGATTTCCATCACGTTATCAAAGAGGTCTTTCTTGATTTAACATTTAAAAGGCCTCCCTCCCCTTTTTGGAGGGGTTAGATTTGGGTGGTGGCGCTGTCTCATTTTACAGAATTCAGCAGTGTCCTGGAATCTCTCCGGTCTCTGATGTAAACTGAATTTTCGGAAAGAACTTTGAGATGGAGAAATAAACAAAATAGTGTAACATTGTAGCACTGACCAGCAAAATATTTTCTCCACATGACTTCATAAATCTAGTTAGGTGAGCATTTGCCAAGAGTAAGTTTGCATTCGTCCAGCACAATGCTTCATTCTCTCTTACTCCAAATCATAAAGGGCAGACTAACATTAAAGTAAAAGCATCACATCGTTAGTTATCAAAATCAATTTTTAATTCACTAAGGTGTACATTTGCTTCATAGTGTTTTCTGTTATATTTTTCAATAAAAATTTTTGTTTAAAAAAGTGGCAAATAAATTTCTACTTTTCTTTAAGCAGATCACCTTAGACCAAAAAGGGATTTTCATTATTTATTACTAGAACCAGTTTATTCTTTTTATCATTAAAAATTGTTTTACTCTATGATAAGATGCAACACATTTGTAATCAATAATATGAATGAATAATAATAAGACAAAGCAGTGCAATACTGCATGTAACTTACTTACAAATCTTTGAAGAGAAAATAGTATGTCTTTAGAGCCTACAGTCAGTGGACATCATCAAGAACTCCTCTTTGTAAATAAGAAAATATTTTTGCATTATCAATATGGAAATGAATTTTTGGTCACTGTTAATTTGTGGGACTATTTTAAGAACTATATCGTGTGTAATCTTTTTGTAAAATATTTCACTTATCTTTTCCTGCTGAGTTTTGTCATTCCCATTAAGTTTATGCTTTAGAAGACATAAAGAACAAGAAATACTCACTGTGATGTTCTTGTCAAGATAACTGATGCACGAATATATCCTGCCAGAGACAAAAATATAAATAAGAAAGGAAAATTTTATCCAAATGGCTTAGCCACATGTTCTGGTTATTTAATAGATCATTTTAACCTAAATTCTACAACTAGTTTGAGTTTACCTATTAGCTATTTTGCATTTTTTCAGAGGATTTTAATCAGAAAATTCCTTATGAGACATCGGAATGACAGATAATCAAAAAAGAATGGGCAACGTACATCGATTGACATAGAGATATAATACAATTGAACAAGCAGTAGACACAGAGCCAAAGGTCAAGTTTTAATTTTGGTCCTATCATTTAGTATTTTACTATGTTAGGCAAGATATCAACACATCACAAAATGATGATATTGGACTAGTAAATCTCCAAAATTGCCCCAGCTCCCAATATTCTATGACATCTTTCTCCGTGGGGTTTCTGTCACTACTAGGATGAGAAGGTAATGTTTTTGAGTCCCCTAGTATTTTATATTTCAGCAATTTCTTCCATTTTCCTCAAAAACTAAAAAAAAAAAAGCCATGGTGGGAGTGGGGAGGTGTTTAAAAACTAACAACTGAATGTAAATAAATGTTTTCCCCATAACACTGTTTTAAAAAAAATTAATTTATAAATAAAATTTCCATAAAATAATTAGAAATCAAGTATTAGCACCAAGTGATAAAGTCATTTTAAAAATACCTTTTTATCACTTTGGTTGGTGTTATGTTAGAATTATTCAATTTCTCTTTATTTATTATTAAAAAGTTTAAAGGTTTAAATTATACATAGACAACTTTTTATAGTCACCTTTTAAGAGAGAAAAAGAATCAGATTCTTCCAATAAACTCCATATCATAATAAAACAGTAATCCTGTTTATTTGAAAAAAAAAACTCAAAAAATTAAAACTTAAAGCTCCAAATTATCTACTTGATTAAGAATTTTCCAAAAGGATGACCTCAGTGTCGTTTAGCACATATCTGTTATAATGAATTCAAAATGCTTCACGGTATAAGGAAACCAATCATTCCACAGCAAGATAAACTAAAATACTAAGTATAATAAGGTATACATTTATGTCCTTACCTTGTAATGAAAACAGCAGTATGCGAAGTAAGAATATATTCCAAGGTATCATTAATTTGAGTTTTCTCACAATGTTCATTTCAGTGTAGCCTTTCTCCCTAAAATATAACCAAATTGTTGGTCTTTACTAAGATGTCATCTTAGAAATAAGCGTATTTGTAGTGCACTCAAATTCTAGTAAAGATAGTTAAGTAATAAAGTAGTTCAAAAAGGAACTCTAGGGTTTCTAACAACAGCACCTGAAGCTTTAGAACTTGCAAGCCTTTGCCTGAGACTCTCATTAGTGATGCATGGCAGCTTCTTACCTGAGCCGTATTAGTTACACCCCACCCCAACCCTGCACATCATACATCTTTTTAGCCTATATTAGCCTTCTATATCTTCTAAAGCCAGTAACTTAAAAAACTAATGTCTCGTGATACCTCTCAATGTCATAAGGTATAATCATATGCCTAATTGATGATCTATTCTTTAAGAATGTTATTCATAAAATAATTACTGTCCTCTGAAAGAGATGAAATAAAATCCTATTAATCTTTCCTAGAATATTTAGATGGTTTCTTAAATCTTTAAGAACTTAATAGCAGGGCAGGCATTGTGGTACAGCGGTATAAGCTGCTGTTTGGGACACCCACATCCCACATCAGAGTGCCCAGGATCAAGTCCTGGCTCCATTTCCAAACCAGCTTCCTGCTAATGCATGCTCTGGGAGGCAACAGATGATGGCCCAAGTACTTGGGTCCCTGCTACACATGTTCAGGCCCAGATGGAGTTCCTGGCTCCTGGCTTCAGTCTGGCCCAACCCTGGCTAGTGCCAGCATTTGCAAAATGAACCAGCAAGTGGAAACCTCTCTCTTTTTCTTTCTCTTTCTCTCTTTCTGCTTTTCAAATAAATAAATAAGATAAACTTTAAAAACTGAAAAGTACATTAATGCTATGTGCATACGTTTTCAACTCAAGTCGCATTATAATGTAGTACAAGTTGAGATGTTCGTGTGCCCATATTTTTCCTAAACATTCTGCAGCAAAGGGGCACTTTTTTTAAATGAAATTCTAACACATGATTTTAAAAAGAAAATAAAATAACTTCCTAGCCATGAAAACTTCCCCTTCACATCCCATTTTTCCGTCCTCTACAACAAGCACCTAATTTGAAAACAAAGAAAGGCTTCTTATTCCAATTGTAGGAGCACTCTTCTCTGGAACTAACAGACAGCCTAGAATGGCATCAGAGTAAAGCTCTAATATTTCATAATGAACTCCCAAGGGATGATGTAAGTCTCACAAATGAGTGAAAGCCATACTAATATAATGGGTGCACAATTCCTCTAACATATCCTCTGAGTTACTCGAACTGGTGTTGGACTCATTTGACAGAGGAGGGTATAATGGCAGGGAATGTCTAACTACAGAGGAGCTAGCTTGTGAAACAGAGAGGAAGAAGGAAGCACAGCAGTTCATAACATCATTGATGCCTCTTCTACAATGACTTCTGAATCTTCTGTGAAATACCACTGACACCCTAACATGCCGCGTGGCCCAATATCTATTTTATATACAGCCCCCTATTCATGTCCCAAATTCAATGATCATTACTCTTACTTTATATGATCTTCATTCCTTTCCACTGCCTAAAGAATAGCTAATTCCATGAGAAAACAGAAAATGTTTCCACAAAAGGAAAAAGGATAAGCATGGAAACATAAAATGAATTTCACTAAAATTACAATGTCTTTCTATAAAAACATAAATATGTGCACACATGCACACCCACTCATTTTGACTTTTTAATGCATAGGCTTGAACAATTTAGGTATAATACATGTTTAATAACATTTATTGAAAGGTTACTAGTTTGTTACTCTTGAATTAATCAGACAACCATATAACATATAATCATGTAACAACCATGCAAGTGGATAATTAACTTAATTATTTACAGTTGTGTTCTAAATACTGATCCAAAAACACACACCTACTCAGCTATGACCAAAATTGGAAATTATTCTACATTCTTAAGGAGATATAAATACAAAATAAATTTAAAAGTTAAGATTTAAATCTGTTTAGAACACAATAATTTTCTTCCAAATAGTTTTTTTTTGAATTAAGAAAAGTAATTTTGTTCATGTAGAATGGTTTTTAACTCTTTTTGAAAAAGATGGAATTACACATAACTAACATACTCTATCAATTTTCCTTCTCAGTTGACAATGGTTTCTCTTGACTTTGTCATTTCCCATGTATTCATCAATAATGTGAAAGACTTACAAATCATAGTTTAAGATTTTTTTTTGTAATCTTGGAGTTGGTGCTTTGGTGTAGAGGGTAAAGCCACAGTCTGCAACACTAGCGTCCTACATGGCAGTGGTTCATTTCCTTGAATGCTCCAGTTTTGATCCAGCTCCCTGCCAATGGCATGGTAAAGCATCGGTAGATGGCCCAAGTGCTGGGCCCCTGCTATCCACATATGAGACTTGGATGTAGCTCCTGATGCTTGACTTCAGCCTACCTGGGCCCTGCCTGTTGCAACCTTCTGGGGAGTAAACCAGCAGGTGAAAAAAAAAATCTCTCTTTCTCCTCTTCCTTTCAAATAAATAAATACATATTAACTTGTTTATTTCTATAAAGTGAACAAATGTCATGCATTTCATATATACAGATTTAGGAGCATACTGATACCTCCCATCTTACCCTCCCTCTCACACATGCTCCCACTCTCAGTCCTTGTTCCTTTCTTACTCTCTTTTAATTTTTACAATGACATACTTTCGTTTATTTTATAATCATAAGTTTAAATCATAAGTAAAGAATTCAACAAATAGACCAAGAAACAAAAAAAATGTTGTTCCTCAACAGTAGAGACAAGGGCTGTAAACAATAATCAAATACCAAGATATCAATTTCTCTCATACACATTTTTGTATTATGTTAGTGATCATAGATCAGGGAAAAGATATGCTATTTGTCTTTTGGGAACTAGCTTATTTCACTAAGTAGAATGGTTTCCTGTTGCACACATTGTGTTGCAAAAGGCGAGATTTCATTCTTTTTATGGCTGAGTAGCATTCCATGGTGTATGTATATCATAATTTCTTCATCAGATGATGGACATCTCGGTTTACTCCTTATCTTAGCTAGAGTGAATTGAGCTGCAATAAACATGGGGGGTACAAATAATTCTTTCACATGCTGATTTCATTTCAAGTAGGATGGCTGGGTCACAAGGCAGATCCTTTCAGATTTCTGAGGAATCTCCATACTGTCTTCCATGATGGCTATACTAGTTTATATTCCCACCAACAGTGGATTATGATACCTTTCCCCCACATCTTCACCAACATTTATATTTTTTTATTTCTGTATAACATCCATTCTAACTGGGATGAGATGAAACTCACTGCGGTTTTTACTTGCATTTCCCTGATGGTTAGTGATCCTGAGCATTTTTTTTCATGTGGCTATTGGCCATTTGAATTTCATTCTTTGAGAAATGCTTGTTCAAGTCCTTTGCCTATTTCTTAACTGGATCATTTGTTTTGTTATTGTTGAGTTTCTTGTAGTCTTTATAGATAATGGGTATTAATCTCTTATCAGTTCCAAAGTTTGCAATATTTTCTCTTCATTCTATCCATTGCCTCTTCACTTTGTTAAATGTCTTTGTCGCTCCCCGTCTTCGTGGGGGAACGACACTAAACCCTGCCTAGGCTTCATATCCGAGTCACGGCACCATTATGTCGCTCCCCCTCTTCGTGGAGGAACGACACAGGACCCTGCGCTGTTCTTTTGTCTGCTCGGCCCTCCCCGGGTTTGCTGCTGGTTCTTCCCGGGTTGGCTACCATCCCTTCCACCTCCGTGGAAGGGCGGTTCCCCCTAGCCACTTTCCCCACTTCCGCGGGGGAGCGGCACACCGCCGGCCGGCTCTTCTCGGGGGCTGCACAGGTGTTCCTTCAGATAGATGTTCCCCTTAGATGTTCCTGGTGCATGTTGTCTCTCTCCTCCTTTATAGTCCTCCTCCGCCAATCCCAACTCGGCTGCCCACACGCCAAGTATGCTGCTCTCCTCCAATCAGGAGCAGGATCAGCTCCTGGAGGTCATCACTCAAGTTGGCAAGAGGCAGCTGCGTAGAAGCTGTTTCCTCCTCTCCCAGCGCCATATTGTGGGAGAGCAGATGCATAGAATAAGTCTTAATTCCAGTAACTTAGTCTAGTCCGAGTTGCTCCCCACAGTCTTCTTTGCAATGCAGAAGCTGCTTAGCTTGAAGTAATTCCATTTGTCTACTTTCACTTTTTTTTCCTGTTCTTCTAGGGTTTTTTTGAAGAAGTCTTTGCCTATGCCAGTATCTTGTAGAATTACCTCAATGTTTTCCTCTAGTTTGATGGTATCAGGTAGTGGTCTTATTTCATACTTTGCATGCAAAGATGCAACTTTCCAAGTATAATTTGTTGAAAAGACTATCCTTTCTCCAGGAATTGATTTCAGCTTGTTTGTCAAGGTTTATTTGATTGTAGATGTGTGGATTGATTTCTGGGGTTTCTATTCTATACGATTGGTCTATATGCCTACTTCTGTAACAGTACCAGGCTGTTTTGATGATAAATGCAATGTAGCATGTCTTCAAATCTGGTATTGTGATGCCTCCAGCTATGTTTTTGTTGTTTACAATTCCTGTAGATATTTGAGCTCTCTTATGTTTCCATATGAACTTTAGCATCCTTTATTTAGATCTGAGAAGAATGCCATTGCTGTTTGATTGGGATCATAATGAACCCATAAACTGCTTTGGGTAGTATGGAATTTTGATGATATTAATTCTTCCAATCCATGAACATGGAAGATTCTCCCATTTATTGTGTGTCTTCTTTTATTACTTTAATGTTTTATAATTTTCACTGTAGAGATTTCTCACTTCCTTGGTCAAATTTATTCCAAGGTATTTCAGTGTTTTTGTAGCTATCATGAATGTGACTGATCTTACAAGTTCTTTCTCAGGCATCACATTGTCTGTGTACATAAAGGCTATTGATATTGATTTTTGTATGTTGATTTTATATCCTGCAATTTTACCAAACTCTCTCATGAGTTCCAATAGTCTCTTAGTAGAGTCTTTTTGTTCCCTTATTAATCATGTCATCTGCAAACAGGAATAATTTGACTTCCTTCTTTCCAATGTTTACTCCTTTGATTTCTTTTTTCTTGCCTAATGTCTCTGGCTAAAACTTCTAGGACTACATTGAATATCAGTGGTGACAGTGGACATTCTTGGGTTCTGGATCTTAGTGTAAATGCTTCCAACTTTTCCCCATTCAATATGATGCTGGCTGAGGGTCTGC